TGGGCGGGTGTTTTCCTTACAGTACAATAGAGTGTGTCAGACACATCACAGTCAGTATACAATCACAGGAAAGTAGGCAAAGCAAGTGAAAGTAAAACTGCCAAATGATTCAAACCTTTCTACAATGCCTGGGGGGGGTTTGGATTTAACAAATATCAAATCTATCTGAGTCTGTCTAAAGAACACAAAAATGTGTTTAAAAAAAAAAAAACAGTCAGAGTACACAAGAACCATTGAGACGGCGAGACACAAATAGTTCCAGAGGCGAAGCAGCACAAAGTTCTATTCAGATGTAAAAAAAACGTTTTCAAACTTTAGGTTCCAGACCCTAAAATAAAATCGTTTCCAATAAATGATTTTCCATGGTCTCACAGCCATCAAGTTTCCCATGCTTATGTCTTCATCCCTACGTTAAATATTATACACCATAATGACCACTGGGAGGCAGAAGAGTCTGATTTTGCTGAAGTGCACTAAACAGAATATCACTTATTTATTTTACAGTGATATTCTGTACAGTAACCATCAAAGCAAAAAAAACACAAACCTGCATTTTCATCAAAGAAGACTGAGTCTTGGACGACGGGACTTGGGGATGTGGGAGGTGGAGGAGCCTTGCGTTTGGTTCTTTTCAGTGAAGAGTCGGTGAAGGACCCCCGGTTCAATCCAGCCGCCTGCACAAAATTTAAAAAAAAAATGGAATTAATTTGAATTGATACAAACACAATACATGTTGTCAGGAGAGTCAAGGAAAAGACTTTTAGTTTCAATGTAGCAACTCAGTTTGACTTAAACGTCAGGCAAGACAAATGTCAAATAGATTGTTGGGGACTGGAGACGTAAAAGTCCTTCACCAAAGTTTTGATTTTTGATTTACCTCAATAACCTCAACTAATTACAATTAATTACAATCATAATCAATCACTATTAAAATTGTGATAAATTTCAATCATGATTAATCGTGATTATTCATGATCGAGATTAGAGCAAATTACAAATGAAAAATTTCAATTGTTGCCAGCCTTAGTGCTAATATGAACTTTGCCTTTCTATCATCTGGCATTCCACCATTGCAGCCAAGTGGGGTGAACCCAGAGTCCGTTCAGTGCACCGACCTGATCACTGTCCAGCCGGTTGTTGGGTTCAGAGTTGAATCTCCGTCGGGCGCTGAGGTCTAAGCTCTGAGACGACAGGAGTGGGGGTGGAGGTGCTCGTCTCTTCTTCGGAGTGTCCACGGGGCTGGTGGGAGCACCGAGCGAAGGCGAGTGTGTGCTGGGTAAGGCCATGCTGAGCGGTCGAGGTTTGCTCACGAGTACTGGAGAAGACGGCGCGCTGGCCGTTTTTGCCTTTAAAGAGCAAACATTCAATCAGGACCTGATAAGACGGCTGTTCCCAAACAGCAGAGTGCACGTTGGCCAATTGCAGACCTGAGTAAAGAAACCTCCCTCTGACTGTCTGGGCTTCAAATACACCAGTGCAGTAGAAAATCAATGCGTTAAAACACAACTATACTACAATATATATAAATATTTATATATATTTATACCCGCTCCGAGTTTTTCTTGCTTTTTCTAAACATGCTGAAGAGGCCTTTGTTTTCTTTCTCCTTCTGATTCTTATCTTTCCCCGGAATAACGGTTCCTGCGAAGACAGAGATTGAAATATCATCTTAGTCAGGGACTCACACTGGTCTGTGGACAGTGATCATGCAGACAACTGATTACAGACATACCTGCGTGGACCGGTGAGGCCGGACACAAAGGAGAAGACGGCGGCGCTGCACAGAGAGTTTACATTAGATTTTTAAAAAAATTAAAAATAAGGAAATGCAGCCTAAAAACGTTCCTCATTTGTTACTGTGTGATTTTTTTAGCCCCTACCGTTTGTGTTTCTTGCATAGACTTCCCTTATTGCGTAATCATTAAGAGAGCTGGACAGATCCAAAGGTGATAGAGACTGAATATCTCTGAGCAGAACCGTGGACCCGATGTCAAATTCACATTTTTCACAAATGGCTGGTAGGAGTTCTGCCAAGGGAATTCTGGGATTGACTCGCAGTATAGTTTTCTGGGTCTTTTTGTAGTTTATCACCATGCGAACAGTTGCCTGGAAAAATAGCAACAAAAAAAAAGGTATTGCTTTGATTAAAATCTGCCTACTCAGCAGAGGGAGTTACTGTGAGCCAGGCTGAGATCCTGACGTCTTTAATTCACCTCAGGCATTTGAGAACTTGTCTTCTTGCTCTTGTCCTCCCCTTTGGGTTTGATCAGAATCCTCTCGGCATCTAAAGTTCCAATCAGAGCGTTAGGCTTCAGCTTTATGTTGTTCCGGTTGGCAGTGACCAGTTCTAAGGTGTGGCTCGACGGGTTCAGGTGATACTTTGCACAGAGTGTCACCAGGAGGTCCATCAGGGGTTTGCTTGAAGACAGAAAAATAACAGAGAAATGACGACTCTGTGATACGTAAGCTGAAAGTTAAAACCAATATCTTAGTGAGAAAAGAACTGACATGTCATCTAAGGTTATTTAATGCTTACGACTTGTGTTTAAAAAAAAAAAAAGGTCAGAATCTGGAGCAACCAAATGCAGCTGACTGATGTCACAGCACATTTTCCTGGCACCGTCAGCGCAGGTTAACTGTGGTTCATTCCTTCAAACTGATGCAGGTATCAACTGTACTGTGACACAGACAAAGATTCCAGTGCTTAATCCTTTCACATCGGACTGTTCTCCAGTCGTTTCTCAAGAGGCGACGTTGCAAAAGACACCTCTGACAGTGTGTTTGTAAACAGTCAGCATTGTGAGAAAGATAATGATATCTTGAGTAAACTCTGTTGACAGAGGCTCCAACAATAAGGCACGCAAACCTGGCACTCAAAAAAACAGTGCAGTTTTTAGCTTTTAAATGTGCAGTCACAGACGTCTTCTTTCAGGTTCCCACGCTACCTCTGCAGCGCCCCTTTTTTATACTGGAATATTGTGAAAAAAGAAAAAAAAAAAAGATCATAAAATATAAATTACTTGGGTCGTAATATGGGAGCTCGCCCCCCACTTTGGGAACCATACTTTTACATTAGCTTTCATGCCTTTCTGTCAACTGTGCTCTCTAAGCCCTGGGTTAAAGTTCCATCTTGTGTTTCCTGTCCTCTGAGAACTTCTGCATGTTTCCACATGAGCCTGCGTCGCCATGGTTACTGAATATCAGTGGAAACCAGTGTTCTGAAGAGTGTTCTCTGTGTGTGTTTAGTCTAAAATGACACTGCCGTCTTGGTGAGTTTGCTCCTGCAGTATTTGTACATCCACAGTTCTGCACAGAATGATCAGTTTTAATTGGCTGTACCAATGAGTTCCACTTCTGTGGTAAGACGACTTGGAGGTGCAGGTGCTGTACCGCTGCCGGCCAGCAAACGCCGACTCTCACAGTCATCCATTCATAAACTGCCAAACCGTCTCATTACAAAAATGCAGTAGGTGAGGAGGGAGTGGGTTTTCCAGCTTTGGTCACTGACTAACATTCCTGCATAATCTCCACCAAATGTCTCAGCCTTCCCTGGTGTCACACCTGGTCACAACGAACAGGGAACCAACACGAGGAAGTGAAAATGTTCAACTTGTCAGTGAGAACACTCAGAATGCTCGAGTGCTTCCCACGACCACGGTGCATGTGAACCCACAGGGTGGGGACCATGTGATGTCATGTGTCGTGTCAACTTCTGTAGACAAAACAAATGTGTTTCATGAGAGAGTGTCTAAATTCATGAGCTGAGCAGCAGCAGCAGCAGCAGCAGCAGCAGCAGCGGTGGTGGTGATGCTGTGGCTCCAAACCTGTGCTGAGTAAATTACTCTCAAAGTTGTTTTACAACATAGTACTCCTTCAACAAAGTAACATTAGATTATTTTTTCTGAACTTGAAGAAATAAAATCTCCCTGAGATATATATAAAATAAAATCCAGGAAACTAAAATTCAGGTCTAAAAAAAAATCCAGGAAACTAAAATTTAGGTCTATTAATACTCTGGGCTGTATAAAATTTGACAACGACCTAAAATTGGGCCCCAGGCCAGACTTTGGACATGCCCATTATAACAGATCCTGCAGGATACTTCTATTAATTTTACAACAGTTCCCTACAGACCCTTTTAGAGAACTGTATCAAAGGCACTCGACATTAGCCTATCTATCTAAAACTCTCCTGTGCTGATGAATAAAGTCTACCTTTCTTGATTAGCGTCAAAAGTGGACACAAAGATGTTTCTACTTCAGCAAACAGAAATGTTAAACATCCCAGTATAATTTCACACAATGCACCTTTTTGGCAGAACAGAGTAATGTGCCTAATTATGGACTCCACCCGGTGACTCATTGTTCTAGAACTGAACCTTATGTGAGGACTCTTTCTGTCCTGATTACCATGATGTCATGTTTAAACTCAGCTGTTCAGTCTTAACTAAACATCCACGGGGAATGTTCCTGAAAGTACACATATTTTAACATCATCTATCATACGGGACACATGCTAATGCTGCAAAAACAAAAAAAAACAAAAGAAGAAGAAGAAGCATAGATTAAGTGATGGAGCCGTACCTGCCGTGCACCGTCGTCATCTTTTCCACTCCTCCGGGCAAAACCACGACCAGGGAGAGGTCTTTGTCGATAGGCTTCTCGTTTGGCTCCATGGGTAAAAGAGGGTTTCCTGGGTACCACTGAGAAAAACCTGGGGAATCCAGATCTTTTAGTCCTGGTGGGGACGGTGCCTTAGTTTTGGTGGACACCCTGCATTCAGAGACGGAAATATACATGAATATTCAGATATATTCAGTTTGAAGGCTGCACTAGCTTAGAAAACATGTGTGTGTGTGTCTTTAACGTCCAAAAGAACCGGGTCATTGAACTGGTTTCTGCATCTACAGACAATAACACGACTGAAAATCAAAGTGTCCCAGGCAGCGTGAAAGGAATCTGTTTTTTTCCCCGCAGGTTTTGAATATTTGGGAAGCTGTTACGTCAACGTCCTCTTTGTAAACAAGTCACAAGACGACCAAGTGGACAGATTTACTGAGCCTGGAGAAAAAGGTTATAGTGTGAGGAGAGAGATTTCATTTATTCATTATTTTCTAATATGTGACCCTCCGCTGTCACACTGTCAGGTAATGATAGTCGAACGCCAAATAATTACACATTCTTGTACTTCTTTAAAGAGTCAGTATCTGATGTGCAACACCAACATGTTGACCTACAACGGGGTCACCGTTATGATGTGTAACTGTATCTCATTGTACAGTTGAATACCAGAGAAATCCAATTACTTTTGCGCGACTATTCAGGTCACGTAATAATGGTGGAAAAAGGACTTATGCAGTCACTGGCCGGAGTGTAGTCGTAAATTCTCACGTGGGGGCACTGCTTATTCAAACAGAGGAATCTGAGCAATGCAAGGTCACAGGCTTCAATGATGGATGTCTGAGCAGTGTAGTCAAACACTAGAACCATGCCACATACTGTATAAACATATACACATATATACACACATATATAAATGTATAAATATATACATATATAAATATATACACAGACAGATATATAAATGTATAAATAGATATACATATATAAATATATTTATTTATATATGTCACAGCAGCAACTTTTGCTGCTGCTTCGAACAGTGTAATGGATGATGTTATTAATCTCTGCTCTTCATAAAAACGAGACTCTTTAGTCTCCTGCTCTTTAGCTCTATTGCCTGTGGCAGAGACAGTTCTGTTTTGTCGAGAGGTCAGCCAATATCTTTCTGTCTCATACAGGAAGTTGAGGAGACTTTGAACAAATTGCAAGCGTAAGCTTAAGGAGCAATTTAAAAAAACTACTAAAAAAAAAAAAAAAAACACTAAAAAAAAAAAAAATTTATTTTCCATGTTTTATAGTTGGGATTGGTTACAAAATCTATAGGATTTTAACCTTAAAAAAGAAAAATGATCTGGCAGTATTGCATTTAAAATGAGTTTGTCATCTGCAAAGAAATTGAGCACAAAAAGCGATATCTGCCACGGATTTTGTCATGCTTCTGAAAGTAACACAATTATTGTGATTAGAAGAATGTTTGACTACTGAACTTAACTTGAAGATCCATGTATTTAAAGATGAGACTATAGCTCCCTCTGTTGAAGAAGGAGAAGGGATTACATGCTCCTTTTTGACAAACCCACAATACCAAACATATATAAATATGAATTGATAATAAACAAATGTTTTGCTTTTTTTGACTGCAACGTGTCACTCACTAAAATGACTAAACCAGTCTGGATCATTAACGTACATATTCAAGAAGATTCAGAAATAAATATCACACTTACATACAGGAAAATCATGCATGGAGCAAAAAAAAAAAAAAAAAAACAAAAAAAAAAAAACTGTAGAATAATTGTAAAATGTAAAAAAAAACAAATATTTGTTACTATATATTATGATCCTTTCTGTTACCATTTGTGAAAATAAAAGTAATAAAAAACAGTTGAATGAAATAAAGATAATGGAAATGGCTGTGGTAAACACCTATTTCCAAAAGAAAGAGGGATGACTTACAAGAGTGGAGGCAGGTCCACACAGATAGATTATACTATGTAGAAGAGGTAATCTGAGGGAGATTAGAGATTGTCAGGTGGTGGCAGGCGAGAATGTAGCCAAACAACATCAGATGGTAGTGTGCAAAATGACGATGGAGGTGAAAAAAAGTAAGAGCAGAAGATCAAGTGGAGGAAAGAGACATGTTGTGAAGACTTCAGGAAGGAAGTAAGGGCAGTTCTGGGCCGTGTTGAGGAATTCCAAGATGATGGTGTAAAACTTTTAGCCTGGAAAATAATAATAAAAAGGAAAAAATATGACTGTCTGAAATATCCATAGTGTAATAATAGTCTCCAAACAGCCAACCACGGTCCAGTAAACTGTAAGTAAACAAAAACTGGTGTTTCCTCTTTTCAACACAGTGTCCATTTATTCAGCTATCAAACATGTAAACAAAGGGATTCAGTAAAGATTATGAATGAAAAAAAAACATGCTAACAAACTTAGCATTATTTAAACCAACTATTTAGATTTGATCTCGGAATGCAGTTGTCTTTTTTTTTTATCCAGAAAGTTTATTTCACTGATCCCATCACAAATACCACAATACTGCTGACCTGATACTGCATGTTACTGCATGATACTGCATGAAACTGTATGACTTTCCTGTGGAGAGAATCTGATAACAATGATGTGAATGTCATCATTGCTACTGTGTGTTCTTGATCACTTTCCGTTGTGAGTGAATTGATTTGAAATGACTCTCACTATTTGATTAACTGTTGTGATGATAATGATCGAGTGAACGTCACATGATCACAGAGGCTCGTTTACACAAACAGAAATCCCAGGTGGTTTTGCTTCCTGATGGATTCATAAACAGGTGAACGACATTTTATCACAAACCACCACAAAGTATTTAACAGGGAATGGGAATAAAGCAGCAGGAAGCTTTAATCCTGGTATCTTCAAAAAATAAAAACCGAATAACTTAATAAAGGGATTTACTTAAACTGAAACTTACTTTGCGCTCTCTTCTCGGTACAAAGTCCCTGTTTCACAACTCAAATGTTTATTTGGCAACTAAAACAATAATCCTCCAGCTATGTGTTCCAACTTGTTTTCTAAAACCTCCTTAAACTAGACCTTTGGTTGTGCTGATATTATTTGCCATTTTTAAAAACCCTGACAGTTGTTTAACAAGTGGAACTGCACTACGTACAAAATACTACTACAGTACTCAGGAAAGTAGCACGGAAAACCTTCCCAAAGCCATAGCTTGAGGTTCAGGGTCAATTTGGTTTGTGCAGCTGTGTCACCGGCGTTTTCAACAAGACACCAACATCATGTGACAGTCACGAACACACGCTGGTTTGTTTGTTCCGTCTGCCACTGTTTTGTTTTTTTTTTTTGTTTTTTTTTTTTTTCCAAGCGGCCAGCATGTGTGGCTGAACGAGAGCAGACGTGTCGAGGCTCGACCGTGCTGATGCTTCATTCAGCGTGTTTCCTGGAGGACTGACGCTCACGCAGACATACACAGTCAATACCAGAGGACGTGAGTGACAGACCTGATCACAGGCCAGCAGGAAATAACAGGCCTGCTGACACTGTGCCGCTCCTGTTGCTGACGTTTCTGCAGACAATGGTCGCACATCTGGTAATAAACACAGGTGTTTTATTTTGACTGGTACTGCGACTACAGGTTACGGTGGTCACAAGTGGTTTGGTCCAGACAATGGTGGAAAATCCTAAATCGACACAAACTCACCTCCTAGAGATTATCGTCACAGATGTGAAAGGAAAGCAAGAGTTATACACAGATAATCAGATATCAGATATCAGATATCAGGAAATCAGATAATCTTCTAAAAAAAAAAAAATGTTTATTTAATAGACATGAGCGACACGGAAATCAGATAATTTTCTAAAAAAAAAAATGTTTATTTAATAGACAATGAATAAGAGCTGGCTCAATTTACCAAATATCTATACAATCAATTTGTAATTCTGCTGATATCTATGATTTGGTCCTCACCTGAGTGAAAAGTCATTCACACTTTTTGTTTCCTTCCAAAAATAATAGTAACCACAAAGAAAGTCAACACTTAGACCTGCCAAGTGACTAGATCCTACTTCTGGTTTTACAAATACTTCACATATTAGCAGACAGCAGAGGAGTAATGAAGATCAGAAATGTAGTAGATTATGACTGATCTACTCTAAATCGAACATAATGGATTTTCTTCAGGGAAATCAACAATGAATAAAACAATGTTCCAGTTGAAAGTGAGTGGAGAAGAAACCAGATTAAAAACACTGCTTCAAAACGTTTCCTTTAAGGGTCTGAGTAGGTGGAGGATTATCAAAAATGCCTACTGTGGTATGCTAGCAGCTGCACAGCAGCCGGATGGGCCCTTAGGGATTTATGTTCAACGTTAAATGGAAAAACAAAAAAAAGAATAAATAAAACCTGGTCGTTCTGTTCAAAATACCCCGGCAGTATTTGAAGAAACAGAAGCTACAGTTCAATGCTCCACTGACCAGAACACCTAGGTTTAGCAGCAGTTTTACACGCTCTGGTTGTAGGAGTACAGTCATATGTACAGGCTCAAACATGCCGGAGCGCAACAAGTACAACACACCCTCCTCCTTCAAGCCAAAACTCAGGAGACAGTTTGAATTAAAAAAATAATAAAACCACATACACAACAAAATGCCAACATATTCTCCGTTCCTGTTTTACAGTCTACCTCAGCTGTAAAGATAATACTAAAGACAAGAACATGCACACTGGAGGGCAGGTGTGACAGACCTGCTCTTCCCGTCACTTTGCCAACACTTCATTCCACTCTCTTACCTCTGTTACGAAGGCAGTCTGGGCTCAACTCATTTCCATCCTGCTGTCTAACTCCCATGAGATGTCAGGCAGACTGATCTACATCAGCATAGGTTAAAAGGGCCCACCTTGTCGCCACACCCAGGCTGTGACATCAGAAGTATGTCTCCCCTGCCTAAATCCCGTCACCAACCCCCCCACTCTCTCTGATTCTCTGAACTCTCCTGCACTTGTGTGTCGGCAGCACTCCCCCTGCGGTCAGGAGCAGGAAGGTAAGCAGCTTTGCCTCCGTGTGCTGACATGAACCTGTGGGTGGGGCCAGTGGTGCAGCAGTGCACACACACACACACATGAACACACACACACACACACACATACGGCGGCATGTGAGCTCACTCAGATAAAGAGACAGAGTAAATATGCTGAGTGACCATGATGTACTTTGGTCCTGATTGGATCTGTGTTCAGTGTCTGGTAGAAGGAGAATCAAATGCGTTGTTATCTGTGTTTCTGCACTGCCTCAGTCCTGGGACTAATTTAATCAGTCGCTTCTCTTGTGTTTGTTTTTTTATTATGCAAAACGCTGGTAACCTGTGAGCACCACGCCTTGCTCCTGCAGCACTGACTCATCCTAAAATCATGTTAGAAGACTTGTCAGTTGAGCTTGACTGTCATGGTGATCCTGACCAACAAAGAAACGAAACTTGTGTATTTCCTTACAGTCAGTCACATGCTTGACTTGTGATAATTGTGTCATTTTCTTCACTTTCCTCCATTCAGTTGTAGGGACACTGTAACCAATAAAAATTACGGTCACATTTCCAAACAAAATACTGTTAATAAACTACAACATTTCTACCCACTGGCCACTAGATGTGTCCAATGTGTCGATCTGTATGAATGATGCTTTTTGACTATATTTGTTTTGCAAGTAGTCAGCATGTTTGAGTGGAAAGGTTTGAAAGATGGAAAACATATCCAGAGTGGTGCGAGCGCTATTCAACTAATGCCAGCTGCTGAAAAAAAAGGAATTAAACCTAAAATATCCTCCAAAAAAATTAAGTTAGTGAGAATACAGAATTTAATTTAATTTTAATTTCCACCATACCTGTATTTCTGATGTATATACTCCAGCCCAGCAGGTGGCAGTATTGGAACATAAGTTCATTTGCTAAAGGAGATGCACAGGATGCATCGAGAGCAGTCAGCTCAGATGTCCACTCTCGATGCATGTTCTATTGACTCAATCAAATTCTAAATTCCATCATGTCATATTACTGCCCTGATGTAACGAAGAGTGTTCTTAGCCCCACCTGTGGTGAGGTGGAGTAATGTCCTTGGTCTCTTTTTTACAGTACTTCTTTTGGAGTCTTTGAGAAGAAACTGTCAGGACCTTCAACATGAAATGGAAGACAAAGCATCCAGAGTTAATACGAGAAGTTTTGTCTGGTGTTTTCAATGTTGATTTAATCAGCACGAAAAACAAAAGCAAAACTGGAACTGTTCTATTTCCTTTCTTTCATTGAAATAACTCAGTATCCAAACTTTTACTTCCTGTAAACGCTGCTTTATACAAATAGAGCCCTACTGTGACTTTCCTCTTGAAAAAATAAATTTCCTGAACTGTACACTTTCAAACACGGGGCTAAATATACACGTTTCCATTGTGAAGTAAGGCAGCAAGAATGTGGAATTTTTTTCCCTATAAATCCTATCACAGGATAAAGATGATAGGTGCTAAAGGGAAAAGATATCATCGGGCAAAATCGCTTGCTTTTACTGTGTGAAAGTTTTCCTGAGAAGAATGACAGAGATTTCTCTTCAGCAGAAGTAGTTTGTCTTGAAGTGCAAGCTCACAGACTATCCCTTTGTATGCCACTAGGGATACTTTTCAGATTCTTATCAGTGTCTCTTCAGTCATCACAGGGCTTTTAGGCATGTGTCTGGATCATTTTTTATTTCCTCAAATCTATTGTTTCTCATGTCTCCTATGATTTTAATTGAAGAGATTCTCCAACTTTCTAACATAGAGTTTTTCCTTCTGTTTTTGATACATTAACCAGAACAAAGTACAAGGTCAAACAGCACACAAATGTCTTTTATTGTAGGAGTTTGTAAATCTACAAAAATGTATTTTAATGAATAAACAAATAAAAAAAAAAATCATTGACATCTAGTCCTAAGCCTGACATAAGGTGTTTAATGAGCCCAAAGTTGTCCCCGAGCCATTAGTTTGTGCTGTGATTCAATATGTTCTTAAAGAAGCTACAGATTTTGGCGATGAAAATATTCCTGTTATTTTGTTATTTGTTGAAAAAAAAAATCCACAAATCCTCGATAAAGAGACGTTCTTCAGAAACAGCTACGTTTCACCTTAGATATGTATTTTTTAAAACAAAGCTCATTTTTCGCTGTCAACTTGACAGGGGGGCTGGGGGTCGAGGGGCCGGGGGACCAAAGACGAAACACAGCACCAGAGCCACAGCTGGTAATTTGATGAGAAGTCACTTGGAGTAAACTCTTTTAAAGGGGGTCTGGAAAGGCCATTAATATTATGGTAAACAGTGTGGGGTTGAGAGAGATTAGGGAGAAAAGGGAGCGCAGGGACCCTTTGAGAACTTCCCACTTCCTATGTGTATGTTTATTATTGCACGCAAAAGAAAAAAAAAACTTTTTCCCACAGCGTTACACAAGCCTTTATCGTAAAGTCAAAGACTCCAGGCATTCGTGACACTATTATGTACAATTCCAATCCCAGTTATCTTTCCAGTGCAGTATGTCAGATCTCTCTTTCACGATTCCCCTTTCGTCTTCTCTCAGCATTATAACTCCCAGCTGTGCTCACTCTTGCATTATATGTTGCAATGCAAAGGGGGGAAGAGTAAAAATACGGGCTGCTATCTCAGCTTCTACACTCTTTAGTGGTTCAAGCAATGGTGCATTACCACCAGCCTTATCTCAAAGCAACAAGAATACTTTTGCTCTAAACACCCAAACATGTACTGATTATATGGGGACAACGCAGTACACACACAAATACCATGTTTGGATTTTTTTTTCTTTAAATAAAACAACCATCTAGAGACTAAAAGAGTTGTTATAGTTGCATGAGTAGAATAGATCACGTAACGTCGCGTATAAAGAAGCATTTTAACTGGTAACCAAGCCTGTGTGGTTTTTAGGTAAAAGGTGAAGAAACACGTTCCATTGAATTGTACAGTATTTATAACCATCACAGCGCCGTCTTTGGTCTCGGACAATGCTGCATTGTCCGCGGAGGGGCATCTTTCAAAAGGAACTGCGTGCCTTCGCTCTTGTGCAGATCACATGAACTGAGAGTCAGGGTCGACTCACTGATTTTGCAATAAAACAACCAACAGTGGACGGCTAGAGTAAACAGAAGACTGTGTTGAATAAATTTGAGCTAGAACGAGATAAAAATAAAAATCTTTACATATAATATATCAATGTCTTCTACTGTATGTAATACTAAGAATTACTCAACTCAATATATATCATATATCATGTCGCCCTGTCCTAATAAAGGTGGAGAATAGTCATTGCCAGTCTGACATTCCTTAAAAATGACCACCATATGACCTAATATCCCATGAACAGTGTTCACAAAATCTGGGAGGGCATGACATGTACAATACTGAGATAGTGCCCTCTACTGTTAAAAAATAAAAATGCACATATCCCTAGTTTCTATTTCTTAGTCTTAGTCATTGGCCACCATTTGACTTGATTTGATTTGATCTGTTGGACGGTGGTGAAGTTCATCTTTAACATACATCTTGTGAACTACATCAGTGCCAGGTCTGACTGCTGAGGACTTTGTCTGTTCACCCAGTATCTCATCAGAACAAGACAAACACTGATAATGAAGCCCCCGGCAAAACAAGGCAATTGGTTCATTTGTCACGTAAGATGTTAGAATGTTATTGGAGATAAATAGAGGTTCCTATTGAGAGCACACAAAGAACCCATTCATGCCAGGTCATACTAGACAGCCTGAGAGTGGGAGGCATCCAACTGTTATGGCCTGGAAGAGTGCATGACAAAAACAAAGAGGGTCCAGGACCTCCAGGCTATTTACTCTGCACACAAACAGCATCTGTGTAGCAAATCTGGTTGAATCTACTGCCGCCGAGCCTAATACACACTTTATTTAAAAAGCTCATCAGCATAATGTTGAGATGAGAAGAAGAGGCTACTGTAAAAGGACCAACAAAGTGTGTTCCATTATGTTCATAAGAGGCTAGTGAGAAACTGGTATTTACGGTCAGTGCGTTGGTTTCAGTGCGGTAACAAAGCCACTCTATTCTTCCCCTTCCTCACCTTAGTAGCTACGTTGTCAGTTTTAGCGTTGCAAGGCAGAAATTGTTCATGAGGAGATAAACAAGCTCATTTGCAGGGACGTGTTTGCGTTGCCTTAATTCCTAATTTTCCTCTTGGTTTCTAATTTCTTGTGGGTGGAATTTGTCTGAATGAAATCTTTTCTCTCACTTCTGGAGCACAGATGATTGGAGTGGGCTTTCTGGAGGGCGACACGCAGCAGATAATGACAGCATTGTTGTGTTTGGGAAAATATTTCAAGGGAAGATACGATTGGACGGTGAAGTCCACTTAAAGACCTGTGACCCTTTTTGAAGCTCGTTGTATTTCTAATCCACGTGTCCGTCTATACTGCCATGATTTTCATCTTCAGACCCAGCTGAGCAGCTGTGCCCTTGGACTGCCTGCACGTCTGGAAACAGCTGTGGGGATTCACAATACCTTAACTAATTCCACATTCTGCCCTGAGGAAAGGCGGCCATGTGAGATCATAGTTCAAGGTGTGACCAATTACCAGGCCTGCAAGCTCGACTGTACAACATAAATAGATGCGAACAAAGGGTTTTGAATCTTAAAAAGCAAAGACAGGTACTGCCTTTAATAATGCTGCATGATAAAGTACTCTGGGCCCGTTTACAAGCACCGTCAGTGCTTACGGAGCTGCCCGCCCAGTGATTCTGGCAGCTGCAGTATTTGGATAACAAACGAAGCACAGCTTCGAGGGTCACATGCAATCTTCGGATATAAAAAAAAGTGAGAAGCAGCAGCTTTAAATATAAGAAACCACAAATAAGACAGAAAGCATATGTCCCTGCCCACACCCCAGCAGCTTATGGAAGAGTGTGGTTTACTTATAATAGTCCAACCACAGAGTGATTTAGGCACCATGCTGCTCTTCGCTGCCAGGGAGCGTGGCCAGATTCCCAGATTACAAAATACTTTGGGAATATGAACACAAGTAACACCAAGAGGGTGTTTTCTTGCAAACTGTGCGCATGATATGTCAGAATGCTATTTTTCCCTTACGAAGGAAGAACCTGAAGTAGACACAGACAGGACTGGACTGGAAACTCAGCCTGGATGGAAAACTGTATTAGAGACCGTCATATGTTTAATTCTCACCTCTAATTAAAATCTCCAACACTGGTCTGAATGCCAAAGGAGTGAGCAGCGAGTCTTTAAGAAACAGAGGGGGTCTGGAAACTCACTCCGCCCCTTTAATGATCACAACCTCTGGAATAAAGGCGGCTGACATCATCTCTGAACGCACGAAGCAAATCTGATGGGAAATTCCATCATGTCACATATTCGACAGAAAAACTTAACCGCAAAATTTTCTGACTATTGCAAATGACTAATGGGTTTTTTTAATTTTTATTTTTTAAAGTGCAGTTGATGTACATTTCAAAGTACAGTAAAAATATGGTAAAACTCATCACAACAGACACGAGGAGGTGGAACGTTTTTTCTTTAAAATACTTCCCATGACCTCTACATATGGTCACGGCAATTTCTCAGTAAAACTCAAGAAAGCAGGAAATGAGGGAGTTCAAAGGTCAAACCGACTTGCACTGGGTGAAAGGAATGCTGGGAGTTCAAAGGTCAAACCGTCTGCAACAACTGTGACTTCACTGACTTGCACTGGGTGAAAGGAATGCTGGGTTAGTTGTTGGGTATGAGGATGCTTTTTTCTTTTAACAAAGATGGCATCGTGCACACTATTTGTTCAGAAAACAGGTGGGAAAATGGCAGTGTTACTCATGGACACGTGTGTGTGTGTGTGTGTGTGTGTGTGTGTGTGTGTGTGTGTGTGTGTGTGGCATCGCAATCGCCCACTGTGAACTTTTCCTTTTAGTCTGACAGTCTCAGGGACCGTTTAACAGAATTCAAACTGTGTTAAAAGAAAATGGCTAAAGTATCATTATGTCCATCATGGTAATATTGGTGATTGCTAAGAGGTCAAAGGTCGTGCACATTCATCAGCAGTTTCTGCCATTTCCTGTGACTTCCCTGAGCCTCCTTAGCAGTAATCTTTACTGTAAATTGCAACAACTCAACAGTTATGGCTACGTAAACGTTGTTTATAGTTTTTCGGACAAATGTGTTTTGCAATAAATGCCATAAAGCATTAGCCCATGTGGATGCTGCACTAACATTCAAGATTTTACACCAAAAACTGTAAGCAGTTAACCTGATCATGGAAGAGCCACACATGGTGTCAACTTCTTTGTTACCATGACAACAATGCTTCTGTCTTTGTGCCAACTCTTCTGGAGTGTTCTGCAGACATTTATTGTTGATTTGCCTTCTTGCTAGTTAAAAACAAAAAGGTTCAGGAGAATTTCAAAATACAGATTCTAGCCTTCGATGCACTTTTTGACATTGTCAAAACGTTTATAACTAATTTCATATTTTTCATAATTTCAACAACTAAAGCCTTTTAAGATGTGTCTCCAACAGCCTGGACACGCTTTATTGTCATATATTACATACAACATTTGATCAGTTAAAGTCAAAACTGCAACCTGATGCAAAAGTCCTATTAAAACACACTTAAATGAAGGACATATAGTCATAAACAAAGACATTTTTTCCATTCCAAGTTGTCTCAAAACTTTCTGACCTTGCTTCAGGTTTATTGACTCCAGTCACTGCATTATTCATCCTAAAGGCAACAGCCTAATACTTTAACCTGCTGCCTCCACTGACAGAGAAAATAAGCAGAGGCAGTGATGACAGCGGCTAATCCGAATGACAGATACTGTACATACCTCAGACCTGGGCTCGCAGCACTGGATCCAGACCCATGATTATCCACCACTAAACTCATCGGTTTAACAAAGTCCCTCGGACTGAACAAGTACAAACAAAAAGCACAGCTCATTTTCGCCTTGGTGGCACATTAAGCGCTCGCTAACAAAAAACCTGAAGCCCAAACTGCTGAAATTCTGGTGACATTTATAAGTGGGCGAATCCCACTGTCGTGAGGTCATAGCTTTTCAATTCGTATAAACTGAGTTTTCTTTCTTTTCGCCAGGAACGTGGGCCCATATTGGCGGATCTCACCATGAATGCAGCTGGTTCTCGAGGCAGTTGTCCACTTCCATCGGTCATCAAAAGCACGGGATATCAGTTGGAAACTGCTGCACGCGTGTCTGTTTGGAGAAGTGCCTCCATCGCTGCTTCTACGTTTAGTCGCTTCTCTAACGCCACCAACACGGTTCGGTTGAAGTTTTCTCCAAGTAATTTTGTTCACAGATGATTCTCAGTCCCCTCTGCTCTGTGAGAAACCAACACTCTCTGCCAACTTTTCTCTATACATCCTGAAACTCTTCGCATAGCGACGCCGAGCTGTAAACGCGGGGGCGTCTCTCCTCAGATCCACATTTCCTTCGTTTTAGATCTAAATAGGACGTTTAATTGAAACGGCAACGTTTCTAAACGGCATTTCTTCGAGAAGACACGCAACGGATCACGGAGGAAAACAAAAAGTAAGAAAATGTGCTATTAATGGAAAGTAGAAGTTTTGTTTGGGACTTACTTTGATTACAGGGTGTTTCTAGAGTGACATCGTGTGGCGAAATATGAATAGTACAATGTATTTTTAAACGGGATATTTAAAGAAGATAGTAAGGGCGTTAGAGGAGGGCAGTTAACTTATTCTTCTAATTAAAAACGTTTCCCTACTTATCCAACAAAGAAACAAACAAAAAAACTATACAGGACATAATGTCAAACAGGAGGTGCAGTCCCCGTCACGTTGGCATTGGGGCAGTAAAACATTTCCACACCATGTGAACAGTCTTGGGGGAAAAGGCCAGTCATGGTCAGTCCAATGATCATGACAAATAAGCCAATTACTATCAAAATGATGGATAACAACTTTTCACCCTGAAGCCAGCTGCCAGGCGAGAGTTTGAGGAAACATGCAGATGGAATGATGAAGATGAGAGGGGTGGCACTCAGGACGCCCTGGATTCAAAGAGATAAAAACGTTTAATAATTTATAGTAATTTTTAAAAAAAAATCATAGATAAATGGCCTCTTGCAAAGTGACTGATTTAACTCACGTTAAGCTCTAGGACAACGCCAAGACAGTCAAAGGTCAAAGACAACGATGTGCAAACTGTAACAATGAGCGTAGTTAGAGCCAGGTGTTTGTATCTGGAGAGCTCCTGATTGCAGATGACATTTGTAGTGACCTGAAAGAAAAGAAAATTAATTTGTTCTTTTACATGCGAATTCTTGCAGTTATAAAGCAACTTTTTAGCTTCAATGTTTTTCTCGTATCCTTTTCAGATGCCACTTTTTATTATTGTGTGCATGATAAAATCTCAGTTTGGGTCAGTACTACAGTACTGTACATGTACTCGCCTCTCGTGTAACAAAACACTCCAGTGGAAAAGTGGTTATTATACTGAGAGCAAAACAGAAGCGTCCAAATGTTGCCAGGTTGTCATCTCTGCAGTAGTTCTCAAAAATGTCACCTTAAAAACAAAAATCCAATTTGGCTCAAAACAAAGAAAAAAACAACAACACACACTGTCCTAATGGAATTGCATTTGTCATGTCTTGTGTCAGAGGCACAGATGCTACTGTTAGTACCTTGGGTGAAGCCAGTGAAGGTGGTGTACCCTGCTACTGCAAACACAGCACTGATGAACAGCGCCGAACCCACTGACACGTGGGTGACTTGAGCCCATTTGGCCAGAGTGGGCTTCTCCAGTGAACCGTAGATAAGGAAGCTGTTGTGGTGGCAAATAAAAGCTGGGGAGAACAACAAGGCCAACGTATTAGAGTTTAAAATATACAGTAGTGTCTATATATGAACACTGGAGATGATGGGTGCCCTTAAAATTGTTTTGGGGAAAAATGGCTGTATTTGGAAGTGAAAGTCACTAGATGGCAGCATTTTATTAAGCAGGCACCAGCTAACTTCCTTAACTACCAGGCCACCAGTGCGTCGGAAATTAGATGTTTGGCCAATATCAGATATCGTCATCTCTAATCTCGGACATCCCTAGTATTTACATTTTAAATGTTGGGTTTTCATATTCCCTTTAGGTACTAATGGCATTAGAAGTACTCACCAAAAGACATTACACCCACTGCCTGAATGGAATTCAACCTGGCAAATGTCCATGCGTCTTCTGTAGGGAGACTGGAAGAGTGATGCAGACGTCATTAACACAGGTCAGTCAGTTACAGTTGTACATGTGTAGAAAAAGGCCACATTCATAGGAAAGAAGCATCCTCAAAAAACTCACATTTCAGGTCCGAGGGTTGCTGCCCTGACGATTGCAACAATGAGGATGATAAGTGTTAACACCATTGAGAAGAAGGACACCTGGCAACATACGTTAAGATTTTAAAAAGAGCTCCGTTGTTATGTTATTTATTTACACCGAAACGGGTCAAATGTCAGGTCTCACCTTTCCAAGTCTTGCTATGTTTCGATACAAAGAGAGAGGAAGTGTGAACAAAATGGTTGTGAGTATGATCACAAAGTGACGGTCAGCGAGTGGGTGACCTGGGCCAACTGCAAACACAGGTTGGGAAGTGGCCCAGTAAACAACAAGGGTATCTTAATACAGTACAACAGCTGTAGATATATACTGTAGCTGAAATTGAAGATGGGAAACAGTTCAGGGGTTAATCAGTTGACCAACTTTTTAAATGGACCATAAATGCCCCCACAGGGCCCCACCCCCCATTTTAGGAATCACAATTCAATGTTCGGAGTCATTTCCTTTATGATGTTACTAAAAAACGATTAAAAAATTCTGTACCTCCTGGTATTCTCTGAAATACTTTGGTCAACGTGTCTCCAGTAGTGATGTTGTAGCTAATCATGGCTGTGGAGGATAAACGTTAAGATTTATTATTATTATTATTATTATTATTATTATTATTATTATTATTATTACAGTAGCAAATAAAATAAAACACAAACTTGTTTTCTACAAATTTTAGATTTTAACTAACAGATTTCACATACATTCCTAAACGATTAAGATACTGCACTGTACATAGGAAGAAATAAAAACATACCAATAAAAGGATAAAGGAACTGGAGTGCAGATAAAATCAGAAATCCAGGTAAACCAAATGTGCTCTGGACCAGGGACTGGTAACTGTTTGTCCCTGACAGTTCCCCTCCTTTAATTAATAGTATGATGGAGTAATCTGCAACCACAAGCCAAAATAATGTTATGGACTCGAGCTTCTGAAAGTATACATTACAGTCCATAACTAGAGACACACACACACCTGTGATGAAGCCAACAGCTATCAACAGCAAGAGGCCAAATGGAAGCCCTGCCTGGTTCAGTGCATACGGCAATCCTGGTTTTTAAAAACAGACGAAACAAGAAATATATTATCTACAACTGTAGCTTCATGTTTAGGGCAATATTAATGTCGTGTAAAGGATCTACAACTGTAGCTTCATATTTAGGGCAATATTAATGTCGTGTAAAGCTTTGCAGTTTAAAACAAAGCAGTCTTTGTTTTCATACTACAAAGTGCCCATTTTAATGTAGTGTAACTCAGCCTCAAACAGATGCTGCCGGGCAGATTTCAAGTATAAGCATGTGGAGTCTTTCCCTCTTTTGCTTGAGTAGAAGAGATTTAAAGAGGTAGAAAGGGGGTCAGGAGAAAAGAGTCATATGATGTGGAGGGTTTTATACTGCAGGGCTGGAATGCTATGAATGCTGCTCCTTGTGGCACTAAAATGAGCAACAACAATTGATTATTTAAAGGAATCACTTAAGTAAAAGCTCGAACTATAAATCGCCTTCCTTTAATTTAATTGCTAGACGTCATGACATGTAATGTAATGTGTGCTGCTGAATTATAAATAAACATCACTTTACCTACGATTCCTGATCCTACGATGGAGTTGATAAAATTGAAGGTGGCAGATATCATCGAACGCCTCGATTCTCCGGGGTTTCCAGATAGAGGAATAAGTGTTGCCGCTTCTTCGTTGGCTCGCTGGAAGACAGTGAAACAGCACAGTAAAAACAATTATTTACAAATATAATAAGATGTAAAAAAAAAATGATACTCACTCTACCTGTTGAGTCATTCTGAGCACTCTAAGGTCAGTGGGTCAGCTTTCCTTACTGTATTCCTTGACTGTGACTGAGAAAAAGGAAGAAAAGCAAAAATGTCAAATACAGTCCACACAGTTTTTCAGAAAAACGGCAACAGCTCCACTAGTTGGTGAAAGTTTGTAATGTAATGGGGAAGGAAAGGAACAAACACTTTTCTTTATTTCTTGAAAATAATAAAACTATTCATCCACACATCCTTCATTTAAGTCTAAACACAAATGTAAAAAATATTTCCCCACCAGGTCACAACCTGCATTTCCCCAGCTCTAAGAACTCTGTAGTATAAAAAAATATAATATAAAAGCACAATATGTAATGTTTTTGTATTTTCTTCAATTGTGTATTGAATGTTTAAATTATGAATTAAATTCAAATGTATTTATAACATTACACTTTCTTTATTTTTTTTTTTACTGCTACCCTTTTCATTATCAAATTCTTGAGAATATATGTTTTTTAACCACTGTTTGCCAAAAAGAAAGACGATCCTTCTGCACCCCACTTTTGGGTTGTGACCCCCCTTTTGAGAAACGCATTATTTGATATTTACACTTTTTTAGAGATAAATATATGTGTATATTTTCTCATGCTCTTCTTATTTAATAAATGTGAAACACATTGATTTATTCCTTATTATATTATCTACAAAGTAATATCAAATACATATATATTTTCCTATTGGAGATCTGTTTGTGTTATGTTTTTATCATTTTTTACATTGAAGGAAAAAATCTAAAAATTCAAATCGTCCTATGAGCAAAGACGGACAATCAAATAAATAAACGACTGGACTGACATTTTTGTTTCTGTATATTCCCAGCAGGTGGCGCCCCAGGTGCAACGGATCCCACGGATCACAGGCAAAGTTACCCACCCAACTTTCACACGTGTCATTATCATGCAATTACTCAGTTTCATTAAACGGCACCTGATGGCACACGTGCACGCGCGCTCAATATGATGGGGCTTGATTTGATGGGGCACCATATTTGAAGGAGTTGACCGAAAACACGTGGACACGTTTGGACAGCAATGTCCATCCACTGGACCGTCGGAGCCGCTGGACGTCAGGACGCGCAAGAGTTCACGAGCTCTGCCCCACACAGGGGCGGATGGAGCGCTCCTCTCTCTCTCTCTCTGTATCTCTCTCTCTCTCTTGTTCTCTCTCTCGCTCGCTCGCTCCGTCTCCCTCTCTCTCCTACACGCACACTTTCCTATGATTTTCCAGTTGAAACCTTGGAAATTACCAGTTCAGTGCCGAGACGAGCGTCAAACACCAAAAGCGGACGTATACTTTTTAAATTTATAACAATATTTAAAAAAACAAAAACTATTTTTTTTCTTCAGCAGTCCAGGATGAAACATTAATGGTGAGTTTGACCTGATTTACTTTCATTTATAAAGTTAAATCATTATATATATAATGATATTATTCTTTTTTATACACTTTGTTCTTAAAATGTTATGTTTTTATGTTTTTAACTTCTATCTATCTATCTGTCTGTCTGTCTGTCTATTTATCATGTGTCTCTGTTAATCCATGTGATATGTTAATCCATGTGATATCACATGTCATCATGTACTGTGCATGAAATAATCCATCACTTCACCCAAAGCCGTGGCCTTCCCATTGCCAATTTATGATACTGTTAAATATTGTATGATGGCCTCTGTCGGATCATCTCTGTTGAGGGACTTTAAAAACCAATCGATCTCTTGTATTTCACATTGGCAAAGGCTGCAGTGCAAATTATGAGCAGCGATGAATGACAGAAGTTAATGGCTATGGCAGTAATTATTAGCCCATACTCCATGGATGACTTCCTGCTTCCATAATTGTCAACATTCTGATTAGATTGCTGTCAATTATGGTTCATCTCCTGCTGGCTTACAGTCCAGACACTGCACACTCAGTTTGTCCTGGCAGTTGGCACCCCCCCCACCCTCCCAACCCCCCACTCACACACATAAGAAAACACTGTTTCATCAGCATTTCGCCAACGCCCTGAAAGAGCGAGGTCCGGTCCTGATTCTGTAGTCTGGTCTGTAAGAGGCAGCGAGCATTAGTTGTACTAGCACTTAGGAGCTGTGAGTGTGTTGGTCCCTCAGGATGAGACTGATAACTGAGGTGTGATCACTCTGCCGACAAATGAGTTGAAATGCGCATTTTACAATAGATGGAAGGGTGTCCTCCCAGACCCTAAACGCCTGTAATTGTGTTGTAAACATTGTACTTTTTGCCGCTCAGTCGGCAGAGTTGGTTAACATTTGTAACCATATGAAGGGGAAAAAATATATATATATACAATAATAAACTTTGACCTTTGACCTGTTATTACAACAGGTGGCCTGAGGCCAAGGTGAGTCAGCTTCTAATGCGCTACTGTGTCGTGATACAGACTGTGGGCTTATTTGAAGCTGATGGTTCGCTATTTAAAGTTGTGCGTATGTTAACAACAGAGTGACAGCAGTGTTGGCCAAAGTAAGGTCCGGGGGCCAACATTGGCACAGTTCTACTTCCTGTTTCTTACTTACCATATCATCACGTATTTTTACATCGTCAATTATATGAATATAAAGAAGTACTTTCACTGTTGAATTCAACCTAAGTTGAAATGTACAAAAAGACACAATCAAAACAGATGTTAGTGATTAAATATTTTAGACCTAAAAAACTGCTGAATGAAGGAACCTGGGATTCCCTTATTCCACTGCAAAAGTTGACTTTAAGGTATTTTCTACACAAAGGTCACTTTCAAATATCAGTTTAAACAAATCCTAATAGGTGAATATTAAATATACGGTATGTTCAGATATGCTAATATTTTTTATTTTCAATTCTTTTATACCAGTGTTTCTGTTCATTGTTATTTTTTTTCCCTTGAGCAGGAATATATCTTTTCCTGTAAATAATTTATAGATACAGTACACAATGAGTGACTCTATCCAAATACTGTTCATTCATTGTGAATGAAATATGAAAGAGATCTCAATCGTTCCTATTGTGTAAAGAAAAGATATGTACGACATAACGCAGTAGCCAGTGTACTTCATGTCGTTTAAAGTTCTAATAATACTAGTTAGCCATTTATGTACAGTCTCTGAAGTACAAAGTAGTGTTTTAGGGATTCTAGTTTTAATTTAAAAAAAAAAAAAGATTTACACAGATTTTGCGGAAGGATTTTGAATTGTATCACTCACTCAGTACTTTGGTCAACGGTCCTCACTCTGTCCAGGTGTTGTAACAACATCAGGTGCACATGTGTAGGTGGATCCCCCCGCTCCACCCCACCCCAGGAAGTGAGAAGCTTAGGCAATGAAAAAAATGAAGCTGCTTTGAAAGGTATAAAAACTGACGAAATAAAAAACCGAACAGAGGAAGTCTCATGTGAAAGGCCTTGGCGTTAGCCAACGCTTTAGCTTCATTACCACATGCATTCAAGAAGAAAAAAAAACTGACACTGAAAGAGAAAGTTGCCTAGTTTATATAGGACTCTGTTGGTGAGACTAGTAACTATTAATACCTGGGGGGTCGGACGGCACAATAGATATATTTGTCTCCCTGAAGGTATGTAGGACAAAGTAGCAACAATAGCCCAAAGTGTGGTATCTGTCATGTGAAAGTCATCTTTCTTAAGTGCCAAACATCAAGTTAGTCATCTAAAGGCAGCGACATGTGCTCCATAATGGATGTAGTGTTATAAGGCCAATAGAATAGCCTCCCAATTAAAGAACATGTGACCACAGTGATTAGAAGACTTCAAAGACGGCTCGCAGAGACAAACACGTGTCCGGTGTTGACTGTAGCGTTGGTACGCAACTAAAGAAATTCTCCGAAGTGATTGGAGGCTCTGTAATTGATGAATCACTATCAATCAGGTTTTTATCAAATATTAATTATTTTATTTATTATTCTATAGATTTTTTTAAATTCAAATTTAAACGCTAGCTTTAGTGTCAGTGCTCCCAGCATCCTGTTTATCGTCAAAAATTAAGATGCAATAAAAAATAATCTTTATTTTGTTCACAATAGTGTTTTATCTGAACCATGTATAACAAGATCTATTATAGTCGTCCATAGAAAGTCTTCAAAGGCCTTGGTTGTAATTTATCAAGTGGCTAATTACAGTACAGGGCTGTCATGTCATGTCATGTGGTGCTGTAAAACATGTTTTAACATTTTTATTTTAGATAATCTTAAAATATGCTGTGCTGTGTAGGATATACCTTTGTAAACCTTTTAAAAAATACAGCGATTATTATATCCTACTTTGTCCACATTGTAACGCAGAATAATTATATCAAATTCTTCAGTTTGAGATCAATCCTACTTTGTCCACATTGTAACGCAGATTCTAGATTCAACCTCTCAGACTTCATCCAGTAGCTGGACATCTCTGTGCTGTCACGATTACATCACAAGCATGTGCAACCCCCGCATTGATTGATCAGTGTGTTTGTGATTGATCTCTTGCATCACAGTCCAACATGTGGAAGTATTCTATTACCCTGTGTTCAACTCAGGCAGAAGAGCCCACTGGCAGCCGGGGCGGCCATGCCTTCCACTCTGTAGTGCATTCATATTTAATACTGCATAGTTCTGGCTAACACATCATACCAGTCAGGCCTATTAGCAGAGAAGATCCTTCTTTCCAAGAACACTGTCTCAGGGTTGAAGAGAAACACTGACTCTTCATTCTGAAGGGTGGAGCAGAGGAGCGAGAATCCCACCTGAAATTGATCATAGTCGCATCAAATCTTAATTTGATCCTGAATAGAGCAGATAATTAGATCTAATTTTACCACAGCTGGCAGGAATCCATGTGTGACATTTATCTTTTGTCTCATTATAGCCGGCCACTTCCTGACATGATCATTTCCCACCAAGAACTGAAGTCATTCTCTTCCTGCTTTGCACCTCCTCCAACACTGTTCCCCTCCTTTTCTACTTCTTTATTGGACTTTGTTGTTTGGAGTGAAGACAGTCAAACACTGGTTATTATTACATTTTAATTTAACTTTTTGAAAATTCTGGATTAGAATGGTTGACAAAAATGAGTCTTTTTGTGTTTCTCAACCATATCACCTTCTGTACTTCTCTGGATTGATATTTATTTCGGAATCCAGTCACAAACCGAATCACTATCAATCAGGTTTTTATCAAATATTAATTATTTTATTTATTATTCTATAGATTTTTTTAAATTCAAATTTAAACGCTATCTTTAGTGTCAGTGCTGCCAGCATCCTGTTTATCGTCAAAAATTAAGGTGCAATAAAAAAAAAATCTTTATTTTGTTCACAATAGTGTTTTATCTGAACCATGTATAACAAGATCTATTATAGTCGTCCATAGAAAGTCTTCAAAGGCCTTGGTTGTAATTTATCAAGTGGCTAATTACAGTACAGGGCTGTCATGTCATGTCATGTGGTGCTGTAAAACATGTTTTAACATTTTTATTTTAGATAATCTTAAAATATGCTGTGCTGTGTAGGATATACCTTTGTAAACCTTTTAAAAAATACAGCGATTATTATATCCTACTTTGTCCACATTGTAACGCAGATTCTAGATTCAACCTCTCAGACTTCATCCAGTAGCTGGACATCTCTGTGCTGTCACGATTACATCACAAGCATGTGCAACCCCCGCATTGATTGATCAGTGTGTTTGTGATTGATCTCTTGCATCACAGTCCAACATGTGGAAGTATTCTATTACCCTGTGTTCAACTCAGGCAGAAGAGCCCACTGGCAGCCGGGGCGGCCATGCCTTCCACTCTGTAGTGCATTCATATTTAATACTGCATAGTTCTGGCTAACACATCATACCAGTCAGGCCTATTAGCAGAGAAGATCCTTCTTTCCAAGAACACTGTCTCAGGGTCGAAGAGAAACACTGACTCTTCATTCTGAAGGGTGGAGCAGAGGAGCGAGAATCCCACCTGAAATTGATCATAGTCGCATCAAATCTTAATTTGATCCTGAATAGAGCAGATAATTAGATCTAATTTTACCACAGCTGGCAGGAATCCATGTGTGACATTTATCTTTTGTCTCATTATAGCCGGCCACTTCCTGACATGATCATTTCCCACCAAGAACTGAAGTCATTCTCTTCCTGCTTTGCACCTCCTCCAACACTGTTCCCCTCCTTTTCTACTTCTTTATTGGACTTTGTTGTTTGGAGTGAAGACAGTCAAACACTGGTTATTATTACATTTTAATTTAACTTTTTGAAAATTCTGGATTAGAATGGTTGACAAAAATGAGTCTTTTTGTGTTTCTCAACCATATCACCTTCTGTACTTCTCTGGACTGATATTTATTTCGGAATCCAGTCACAAACCGGATTGGACAGTTCGTCAATTGACAATCACTGCTATAGACTCTTACCAGTTAATAATAAAAATATATTTAGTCCATCAGTGTACAGACCAGAGGTTGTGACCTGGCGTAAAAGACATTAATTTTCTCCAATGGCAATGGTATGGTTTAAAACATACTGTTTGACTAATGGTATTCATGTACCCTCCCCACCCCCCCACCTCCCAGGTCTTTCTCATGTTGGAGGCTTGCCATTCACTCTGAAGGTGCAGGATGAAAAAATGGCACAACTGCTTGTACCGCCAGGTCCAGACAGCTTCCGCCGATTCAGTCCCGAGTCCCTCAAAGCTATCGAGGCACGGATTGCTGAGGAGAATGCCAAGAAACCCAAAGGCGAGAAGAAAAAGCGCAGCGATGAAAATGCGCCCAAGCCCAGCCGTGACCTGGAGGCAGGGAAATCCCTCCCTCTCCTGTACGGGGACATCCCCAAAGGCTTGGTGTCAACACCGCTGGAGGACCTGGACCCCTACTACAGCAATCAGAAAGTATGGTGGCTAAATTGAATTCACGTAATTGAAGGACTTTTGACGTCACAAGTCACAAAGCTGTCCCATGAAATGACCTTGTTTTTGTGTATTATAATTTTAACCAATTATTTTTCTGCATTCAGCATCATTTTGTATAGAGGATGATGAGCAGAAGACTGATATAAAGACTATGCCAATTAGTAGTACTCTAGATACAGTATATATATTTTAGCATTTTAGCATAATTTATGATATTACATTTATCAGTCACAGGTTTACGCAAGAAAATTATCCACCTTTCTTAGCAACATTTGTGTCACAAGTGTAGATGGTGTCCTCTTGTGGCCATGGATGATATGGAATATATTTTCAATATAGAAGTTGCTTAAGAACACGAATTGCAGAACTGACCAAACTACCAAACGATCAGATCGGAACCCACGGTAGCTGAAATATGATATTATACTCTGTGTCTTCTAGACATTTATAGTATTAAACAGAGGGAAGAACATCGTCCGCTTCAATGCTGCTCCTGCCTTGTACCTCCTGAGTCCTTTCAACCCTCTAAGAAGATTGGCTATCATGATTTTGGTGCATTCATATCCTTTTGTCATGATGTTCATCTAATAAGGAATCATTATGTTTTGGCTGAAGACAATGTATAGTTCAAGGATTAATAATAGCGGAATGTTTGCAGTAGGTTGCTAACTCTTGCCAAGAGCCTTTCACTTACAATATTGAAGTTGCTACATTACAGTGTGAACCTTTTTAGAACATAGTGTGTCAAGTAAAGGTCAAGTCCTTTTTCCTAGGACCGCAAAGGCATCACCAGTATTACTGTGCCTCAGGTTCATGTATTTAGTTTCAGTTCATCGACTGCACAGTCGGCCATATATTCTAGTACACAGATTGCAACACATTTTGTTTATGCCGCAAGCTGTGCTGCTGAGGCCACGAGTGCCGTTCATTACGTTGAACTGCTGTAGGACATGTTTCACTATGAGGGGCCTGTTGAACTGAGGGGCCTGTGTGTGTGGTAGACCAGTAATTTTAGACTTGTGCTGTGAAAGTGTACATAAAAAAAACAGTGAAGCTATTAAGGATCCTTAATAACAGCCTGCAAGTTGTTCAACGTGGTGATCATGTGCACCATCATCACCAACTGTGTGTTCATGACCCTTAGTAGACCACCAGACTGGGCGAAGAATGTGGAGTAAGATTTTGACCAATTGCACAACAGACCAAGTTTACAGTCATAGGTGAAGTAACTGTGGCTCTGATCTGATTCATACCTTTGTTCCAACAGATACACGTTCACAGCCATCTATACCTCCGAGTTCCTCATCAAAGTTTTAGCCCAAGGTTTCTGTATCGGGAAGTTCACGTTTCTGAGAGATCCCTGGAACTGGCTGGATTTCTGCGTCATTGTTATGGCGTAAGTCGCCGTGATGTCATATTTACAGTTGTAATATTTTTGAGACAACTCTCCTATCAGACTTATATTTGCTTGAGAAATACATAGGAATATTCAAACAAGCTCCATTGCATTAGCAGCTATGTAAATACAGTACTCCCAAAATCAATTGGCTCAGACTGCAGTAATACGCAGTACAATGTGAAGTGAAATGTCTTTCTGTATACAATGCATCAATTTTCTTTAAAAGGAGAAAAGATAAAAATATCAATAGTATAATTTAAAAAAATTAAATAAAACAAAGTTGCGGTGAAGGTTACTTTAGTGTCCACCTGAAATTTCAGGCATTAAATGTGACATGCTGTAATTCTCTATGTATTTTACCCTGATTCTTTACTCCATTACAATTTTAAATTCCTCGCAGGTACGTCACAGAGTTTGTAAACCTCGGCAATTTTTCAGCTCTCAGAACATTCAGAGTGCTGAGAGCCTTCAAAGCCATTTCAGTGATTCCTGGTAAGTCAGAGAAATTAGTTCTTCATATTTTCCACTGACATCATAAAATGTGAATTTTACCGGGACTAAACCAGTCCACTCTGGGGGGTGAAGGCAATTGAGTATATCTAATAATCAACTAGTGGCCCACGGACCGAATCTGGCCTGCCAAAACGTTCAGTCCGGCCCGTGACATGTTTGCAAAATTGTGAGGTTGAAAGACAAAATATCATGTTGTACCTACTATTAGAACAACTGAAAACAATCCCACAGTATAGGTACCTCCATGATGAATTCAATCCTATTACACCTGCTAGGTTTGAAGACCATCGTGGGTGCGTTGTTCCAGTCAGTGAAGAAGCTCTCAGATGTGATGATCCTCACCGTCTTCTGCCTCAGCGTCTTTGCCCTTATAGGGCTACAGCTGTTTATGGGCCATTTGAAACAAAAATGTATCTGGAATCCTCCGAACATCACAGAGAACGGGACAGGTGGTGAGAATGCCTTGAATTTGACAGCGTTCTACCTCAACAAGAGTGAGTGTTTGAGTTGGTCACAACATTTTCTACCAAAAATGACATGTGACATTGATAACAATCCTCTTGTTAAAACATAACTGTGTGTTTTTTTATTACCAGGTAATTATTATTACCTTCCAGGGAAGAGAGATCCACTGCTGTGTGGCAATGGCAGTGAAGCTGGGTATGTTAACGTCCCGACTGAGGACAGACCACAGATGTTGCGTTTAGGTTGTTTTTCTATCTAAAAAAAATTCAAACTGTTATTTCCCGGTCTGAGATCAACAAAGAATGTATATCTGTCTATATCTATATCTATATCAAAGCTTGCATTGTGACCATGTGATCATGCATATGTCTGATTTCCGTCAGCACTTCACAGACTTTTTCTTTGATGCAGGCAGTGTCCGGAGGGTTTCACATGCCGAAGGATAGGAAGTAATCCAGACTATGGCTACACCAGTTTCGACTCATTTGGTTGGGCCTTCCTTTCACTGTTTAGACTGATGACACAGGACTATTGGGAAAACCTTTACCAACAGGTAAGCTGAGGAAGGGCTGACGTGACAGGGACGACGACCGTAACCTATCCCAATAACAAATCTAAAAATGTGTCTTTCAGTTACTACAATACACAGCAGGGGTTTCAAACATATGGCCCGCGGGCCAAAACAGGTTAGCTGGGGTGTTCAATCTGGCCCACATGATGAATTCTGAAAGTGAAAAAGTGCACAAACACTTCATGTTCTTGATGTTCTGTCAAATTATATTTCTTTAAATAGGACTTTTTTTTAATAAACTTGTACTTATTGGCATGAAAACAAAGAAGAAAACCGTGGTCTTATTGGAATTATTTTACTCCACCTGTGGTTCAGAGGGCAGTAGTTATTCTGCTGTGGTTTCAAAATGTACACAAACTGGCACTTCCTGTGTTAACAACAGGCTGTGTTAAGAACAAAATATTCTCATATTACTATATTAGTATTGCAGCTAGTTGTTTTCAGCAGCCCTCAAGACGGTAGGCAGGTGCCCCGTGGCTGAAATGAACAATGATAAGTCCTGTAATGACCCAGGCAAACACTGTTGAATACACCCATGAAGATGAAGAGCAAACACAGATCACAGCAGCAAATATGTTCAACACAGTGTGCGTGTGTGTGTGTGCGTGTGTGCGTTCAACACTGTGTGTGTGTGTGCGTGTGTGTGTGTGTGTGTGTGTGTTGACCTTTGTGCTGCATTAATATGGACAGAATTTGTTTTGCTCGTGTTCACGTGAGCACTACAGCAGTATTAGGCCCGCCCCTCATTGGTTTAGATGCGTGAACCAATCAGAGCCAACCCCTTCCTGTGATACCTAGTTTTTTTGTCTATTCATGTGTATTCAGAGCCAATGAGCAACAGACTTTCACAATAATAATAATTCAAATAAATTCACAATAAACTTATTGTGAATATAATAGTGCAGTAAATTCCCTGCCCCTTTGTTTAAAAAATAAAATTGATTATTATTATGATATGATTATTTGCCTATGGGTGAAAGTGTGTATTTGTGTGAAAAGTGCTCTAATTTCTGAACTTATTACAGACTTTACGTGCAGCCGGGAAGCCCTACATGTTGTTCTTTGTGCTGGTGATTTTCCTCGGTTCCTTCTACCTGATCAACCTCATCCTGGCCGTGGTAGCTATGGCCTACGAGGAGCAGAGTCAGGCCACCATCATAGAGGCCAAGGAGAAGGAGGAGGAGTATCAGGCCATGCTGGAGCAAATGAAGAGGCAGCAGGAGGAAGCCCAGGTATATGAGCTGTTCCTTACAAAAGTTATTTGTGCTGAAATTAAACTCAAACATATTTGACAGTATGTTTCAAAGAGCATCAACCTGCTCTGATGAGCTAAATAAATATCTATCCATGTTTTGCTTTCAGGCAATCGCAACTGCCGCCGCTTCTGACACTGGTGAAGTCAGCGAGAAAGCTGGTGGCACTGAGAGCTCCTCTGAAACCTCCAAGCTCAGCTCTAAAAGTGCTAAAGAGCGGCGCAACAGGCGGAAAAAAAGGAAGGAGGAGGAGGGCAAAGGAGCTGATGAAGAACTCCCCAAGTCTGACTCTCAGGACAGCATGAAGAAGGGTCGCTGCCGCTTCTCTATGGATGCCAACCTGCTCAACTACGACATGGAATGTTCGTCTGCACATCAGGTTCGACACCATCACTGTGTCTCTGAAAAATGTCATGAACGTAAACGTTCAATATGATTTCTGTTGCCTTTTAAACATTATCCATTCGTGGCCAGCTGATATGTGCTGTTATTGTCATGGAGCGTCATACAGTTTTGTTTAAATTTGACTTATCATCCTTGGTATCACCATTGCCTTCTTCGTTGTCAGCATCGTCTTCATTATCTTCTTCACTGATCTCATCAGCTTCCTGTTGTCTTGCCAATGGCAAACATCTTCCAGAGGTTCTTTTTTTATTTTTTGAACTTCACCTGTAGATTTCTTTTCATTAATCACAATTTCATTTTTCATCCCGGTCACTCTTTGCAGTTGTAACGCCATCACCAGCATTTCTCATGTATGTGCAATTTTCTTTTAATTGCTTATCATCCATTACCATAACCGCCATCATCACCACGTTTTTCTTCATGGCTTCACGTCAATCACTAGTTTTATTTGCTTCATGGTTGATTCGAGAAGCCCTCGCATTTTCTTCTCTGCAACCAACATTTACCCTGTACCCACTGAAGACTATACTTCTTTCCTAGTCCTTTCTGAGTGGACTGCCATTCTCACCCAGGCGGAACAGCAGGACCAGCATTTTCAGTTTTCGAAGCCAAACGCAGGACGTAGGCTCAGAGAATGAGTTTGCTGACGATGAGAACAGTATTTTCGAGGATCACTTGAATCGCAGAGGTTCTGTATTTCTTCCACGGACGTTTGTTCGGCGAAGCAGCAGCATGAGCCAGTGCAGCTTCTTGTCTAATTTCCTGTTTCAAGCTGGTGGACTCAAGCACAGTGCTGTAGACTGCAATGGGGTGGTGTCTCTGGTGGGTGGGAATTCTCTCCCGACGTCGCCTGTGGCGCTCCGACTGCCTAAAGTGACGGTGGATACGGCCTCCGTCACAGACACTGTGAGAAGAGATCGTCCAGTCCAGGTGGTCCTGTAGTTGTTTGAGTATTCACACCTTGTTTTTTTCTGTTTTTTAATCTCAGTTTTTTCAATACATTTGTTTTTACAAACCATTATTAAGAATTCATAATTGATCCCTAACACTTACAGTTACATTTACTTTGTAGTCTTATTTACGGAAGGGAAGCTGTGGATTAATTACGATTAATCATGATTTTAACTTATTGTGAGAATCTGAGCAGCTGCAGAATGTGTGTTTCACACCTGTTTTTATTTGTCACTAATCCAATTGATTGAATTATCACACCAGCCATACTTTATATTAATATTATTTTGTATTGTTTTATTCAGTGTGCTATAAAAAATGTTCCTTAGGTTTTTATTTCTACTGTGAAATTATGACAAAATGGTATAAACATTGGCTTTAAAAGAGGTGGCGCTGTAATACTTTTCTCTACTCCCAGGCTGACACAACAGACACTGAGTACAGACCTGCCAGCGGAGCAGCAAACCAGGACTTTATGGGCGTTGATGGCCTGACGGTCAGGCAGAGAGCTCTTAGCACGGCTAGTGTCATAACCAGTATAGTTGAAGGTAGGAATTTTGTATTATGGCATTGACCATTTGATCTGATTTTTCTTTTGTAATTTTTACCTCGGCTCTCTTTATTACATCAGAACTTGAGGAGTCACAGCAAAAATGCCCCCCCTGCTGGCACAATTTTGCCACCAAGTTCCTCATCTGGGAATGTTGTCCTCTGTGGCTGAAGATCAAGAAGTTGGTGAAACTTATTGTGATGGATCCATTTGTAGACCTCACTATCACCATCTGCATCGTACTCAACACATTGTTTATGGCTATGGAGCATTATCCAATGACTAATAGGTTCTATCAAATGCTGAATTACGGCAATTACGTGAGTGGATTCTACCCTGTGTATAAAATACTATATTTTTTCATATTGTTTTCTGATGTTCTGATTATTAATGTGTCTTGTTTATTTTTGCTTTCCATAAGGTTTTCACTGGAATATTCACTGCTGAAATGGTCCTCAAACTCATCGCACTGGATCCATACTATTACTTTCAGGAAGGGTGGAGTATTTTTGATGGAATCATTGTCAGTTTAAGCTTGGTGGAGCTCTCCGTGGGCATAAGTGTGCTGAGATCATTCCGATTAGTGAGTCCATGGTTATCGTTGACAAAACTCTTAGGGCTTGTTTTGTGCAAAGGGTGTAATCTTGTTGGTTTTTTTTGTTTGTTTGTTTGTTTGTTTGTTTTTTAACAGCTAAGAGTATTCAAATTGGGTGGATCGTGGCCCACTCTCAACACACTAATCAAAATAATTGGTAATTCCGTTGGAGCTTTGGGCAACTTGACACTGGTACTGGCCATCATCGTCTTCATCTTTGCTGTGGTGGGCATGCAACTGTTTGGGAAAAACTACAAGGACTGTGTGTGTAAAATCTCCGCCGACTGCACCCTGCCTCGATGGCACATGAGTGACTTCTTCCATTCATTCCTCATTGTGTTCCGAGTGCTTTGTGGAGAATGGATAGAGACTATGTGGGACTGTATGGAGGTGTCTGGGATGCCCATGTGCATCATTGTCTACATGATGGTCATGGTCATTGGAAACCTAGTGGTATATTTCCATCTCTTTTTTGTTAATTCACAAGTCTATTAATGTAATTTTTGCTGATAGACAGGTTGGATAAATATGATGGCATAGATTATTACAGTCATACATCATACATCATTTTCTAAATTTTGACACAGTCATATTACAGCACTTTCTATTCAAAAGGATCATTTTCTAAATTTTGACACAGTCATTTCAACTGTCCATCAGGTGCTCAACCTCTTCCTGGCCTTGCTGCTGAGTTCCTTCAGTGCCGACAATCTGGCAGCGACAGAGGACGACAGCGACATGAACAACTTGCAGATCGCCATCGGACGGATTCGCAGAGGTTTCGTATTTGTCAAATCCCTGCTTCGAAGCAGCTGCAACAGCATCTGCCTCAGGGACCAGAAGAAAGGAGCTGCTGACGAGAAATCACTGGAGGATCTTCACAAACCATTAGCAAATGTTGTCACCAACCATAACATCAAAGACTTTTCCCGGAACGGCAACGGGGAGGTGACGGGAGTGGACAAAAGTGGAGACAAGTATATTGTAAACAGCAAGAGCGACGACTCTATAATGTCCTTCATTAACAACCCCAGTCTCACCGTCACCGTTCCCATCGCTGCCGGAGAGTCCGACTTTGAAAACCTCAACACGGAAGACTTCAGCAGTGCTTCGTCTGATCCCGCTGGATGCCATTTGGTGAGGACACGTGTTAGTATTGGTCCGAACGACCCGTTGGCCTTTATTGTAGTTAATAATAAAAGCTGTCATCAAGCACAGTAATGTCCACTATGGAGGATGTAGGACGTTAGTGATTCAACCGTCAATACTGTGAAACACTCAGCCATGGCAAAAAGGCATGCACGCTGCGTGACGTTGTCTTTAAAGACCCCGTATTGCATGACGCCTTAATGAGGAGAGGCCATAAAAAAGGAAAAACACCAGCTTGCAGATTGCATTATGTACCATTTAAGTCTGAGTGCTGGTGAGCTGAGCCTTCCTCCACACAACTGTTCACTTTGTATCTGAGACAAGCGCGGGGGCAGGAAGGGAGGAGGGGCAACAACACTCTACAACATAAAAGTGTTGTTGTCCAATAGCGTTTTATGTGTTATATGTTTAATGTTTTATTTAAGAATGAGTTCTGGGCAGCGTAGAACTTTTTTAATAGCGATTAATTGAAAATGTTTGAAAACATTGAAATTTCACTCTGTGAAAAAAAAAATAGTTTTAATAAGTTAATACTATGACACTAACACTCAATGTGTTAATGTCCAATAAAATATTTGTTACATTAATTAATTAATTCCCTAGTTACAGCATTTGAAGATAAATGGTGAATTTGTTTTCTAAAATGTTAATCCTAAAACAAGATATCTACAGGCAATTTTAGGTTTAATCCTACTCACGGCTCAGGTGAATTTGTTTTCTAAAATGTTAATGCTAAAACAAGATATTTACAGGCAATTTTAGGTTTAATCCTACTAGTTATCTTTCTGTTGATAACTGGAACAAGGATCTCTTATTCTCATGAAACGATGGGAAAATATGCTCACATGAACACAGTGACTTCAGCGCTCACAGTATATCCCAGTAACATGCTTACATCATTCTCTGCACTGCATTAGCTGGTCCCAGGACGGCCCAGTGCTTCTGCATTCACCAGCTCTTAGGAGACACACCCAGCAGAGAGCCATACAACAGCCAACCAAGGGAGGAAACATTAGCCTTGTAGCCATAGCTTGATATTCATTTATATTTTAGGATATATGTTTTCTTTCACAATCCAATTTTTTTTTACCTTGTTACAATGAGGGCGTTACATAAAAAATGGAAGGGAAATATTTCATGTCATTAAAATGGAGATAACCAGCGTAATTAAAAGTGTGTTTTCTGTGCACCACCAACGAGTTGACCTCATTCTGTCCACCCTGCTGTAAGGCTTTAATGTTTATGCTGAAAACACATGATATGCTTTAAATTAGGGATGTTCAAAACACGTCCAATAACGATACTGCAACTTTGAGTATCTGCTGATACCGATATCAAACCAATACCTTTGTTTCTCCCCCATCGTGCAGTATGTGGTAAAAAAACATCTACTGGTTGTATGTTTTTTTACAAATGTACTAAATGTTACTTTCCTCTTTTCTTCAGAATTGTGATGAAGATGGTGAGTTCAGCTCCTCTGAGGGCAGCACGGTGGATGGTCTGCCACCTGGCGAGGGTGGAGACTCTGTTGACTTTGAATTTGAAGAATCCATGGATCCTGACGGCTGCTTCCCTGACTGTAAATGCTGTAAAAGCTCGTCTTCAGTATTTAACCAGTTCTATCTCCTACTGTACATGTAACGGAGTCTTCCACCTGTACCCACCACAGGCTGTGTGAAAAAGTTCAGGTGTTGTCAAGTGAATGTGGAGGTGGGCTGGTGGAAGGTGTGGTGGACCCTGAGGAGGACCTGTTTCCGGATAGTGGAGCACACCTGGTTTGAGAGCTTCATCATCTTCATGATTCTGCTCAGCAGTGGAGCTCTGGTGAGTCTGAGTCTGGTGACTCAGCTAATACTACACAATGAGTGTTACAACATATACAGGAGTACCGAGCGGTACACACCCATGAACTGCAGTATTATTAACATCGTGGGCCAGATTGAAACACCAAGTGGGCCAGTTTTGGGCCACAGGCCGTATGTTTGTCACCTCTGGTATAAGGCATCATTATAGAAAATGTGTTTACACTCATTTTTATAACAGCTCCACTTGATTGACAATGTTTCATGAGTTGTTTTTTTTATATATTAGCCGACAGTAGAAAAACAAATTTGCTGATGGGTAATTTGTCTTCATTTGCCCATAACGTGAAGGAAAAGTGTTCAGTGTGACAGTGAATGAATGAATGAATCATTACGACACCGATAACTTTTTTTTTCTGGATCTATTCCAGGCATTTGAAGATGTCTACATTGAGAAGAAGAAGACGATCAAAACCATGTTGGAATTTGCGGACAAGATTTTCACCTACGTCTTCATCCTTGAGATGTTGCTGAAGTGGGTGGCGTACGGTTTTGCCAAATACTTCACAAATGCCTGGTGCTGGCTGGACTTCCTTATCGTAGACGTAGGTTTCCCGTAGAAAGTGAAAATGTATTTTACCGTTTGACTGAATGTGATCTGTCTGTTCCACCTCTGACATCTGTCCATGTGTTCCAGGTGTCTCTGGTCAGTCTGGTAGCCAATGCCATTGGACTTTCTGATCTTGGTGCCATTAAGTCTCTGAGAACACTAAGGGCTTTAAGGCCCCTGAGGGCGCTGTCTCGATTCGAGGGCATGAGGGTAAGTGTCAACGATATTCTGACTGCATCATTTCAGGGCATTTTCACATTAATACCCCAAAATGATTTGCTTATTCCATTGAGTTTGGTGTTCCTCTTTTGTAATGACCAATGTTTGACCCGGTAAATCAGCCCGTCCCCAAACCCCTGTCTGTGGAACAACACCGATCTGTGGGTCATTTGGTACCAGGTCGCAGTGAAATAATGAATTGTTTACTTCATTTAAAAACAATCCAGACATTTCGGTTTCCTTAAGATAATCTGGCAATTTTTTAAAATAAATATAGTACGTCAACATTTATGGTTGGTGGTACTAGAGGGTCCCGGCCAATCAGTCCATGGGACAAAAATGTTGTGGGTCACTACTCTAAATTACTTCACCATAGAGATGAAGCATTTTTATTTCATAATAATAATATTTTTAACACATATTTACACTTTGATATCATTTTATAATTGCTGACATTTACTGCCTGCAGGCAGGAGCTGTTCATTCTACAGACGCAGACATTTCCAGACCTTGTGCTTCTCTGTCTATCCCTCTCCTGGCTCCATGCTTTTTTTTTTAGCAAACAGATATTAGAGTAGTTTCTCTCCACTCCTCTAACAATCAGCAAGAGAGTGAAGCAGCATTTCCCATAATGCCTTTATTGGCACAATGTCGTTTGAACACACAAATACATTCAGGATTTCTTCACAGAAAGACTCGTTGTGTCTCGTTTATCTCTGGTATATTTTAAACCGGGGGAACCTCGCACACTGCTGCAGTACCGCTTTGGTTGGGGCAGATGAGGTTATTAGGGGATGGTCTCTTACTGTGGGTAATTACGGACAAGTGGGTATTCTCCTGCAGAGGTCAATGTTGACTGTAGCGATGATGGTTGGACTTGTCTGACATTTGAACGACCAGTCAAAAATGTGCATTATCAGCACGTTTTTGGTCACAATTCACACGTCACTGTCTACTAATTTGTTCTCCTTTAGAACGTAAACGGTTGCACTTACACCGTGGTCTCATAGCCTATGACGATGGACGTAGAGGCCGGTCATCTAAGCCTCATTTCTTAGATGTTTTTTAAATTTATGTTTAAATTAATAAATATAGTGTTCATTTAATAATGAGACATATTTAAATGTATATTTTTTTAGGGCTGACAAATAATTCAAAGGTTCAATCTGATAAATCACGGGAGAGTTGTCAATTAATCATAATTAATCGTGATCATTCATTATGAACTGAAATAAATTTCCAAATTCCAAATGCTGTTGTACTTCTTTTTTCGTTCTTGTTCTTCACCTTGGCCTTCTTCTTGGTCTACAGGTTGTTGTCAATGCCCTGCTGGGAGCCATTCCTTCCATCTTCAATGTGCTGCTTGTGTGTCTCATATTTTGGCTCATCTTCAGCATCATGGGCGTCAACTTATTTGCGGGAAAATACAGCTATTGTGTCAATCGCACCACAGGTGAACGCTACTCTCCGTCAGAGGTGAAAAACAAGACTATGTGTTTGGGCAAAGACAACTCTCGCTGGAGGAGTGTCAAAATCAACTTTGACAATGTGGGGTTTGGTTATGTCGCACTTTTACAAGTGGTAGGTTTTTTTTTTAGTTTTTACTCCCAGTAATAATTTAACCCTTTTTTTATTCTTTAAGAGGCAATGTCTTTATGTTCATCTGTACACAGGCTACATTCAAGGGCTGGACGGATATAATGTATGCTGCTGTAGACGCAGCACCCGAGGTATTTGCATTTCCCTCTCTTCACTCACTTTGTCACTGTGTCAAAAGCAGTAGTTTGTTATTTTATTTTACACACTAAAATGACAAAATAGTACGAGAAAATGTGGCTAGAGATTTTATTATATTCGGTCTCTTTCAAATTTAAAAATCTATATGTGAGTGTTGATATCTCCATTTTCTTTCATCACTCTAGAAAGATGAGCAACCTGAGTACGAGAACAACATCTACATGTACATTTACTTTGTGATCTTCATTATATTTGGAGCCTTCTTCACATTAAACCTCTTCATTGGCGTCATCATCGACAACTTCAATCAGCAGAAGAAGAAGATAAGTATCTCACCCGCGTTGGGAGACCCCACCTCTGATATCACTGCTGTAACTTTTTTCGTCAGTTTGCTGTGATTTAACACACTGTGTGTGTGTGTGTGTGTGTGCTCCCTTTACTTTGGAGGTCAGGATATCTTCATGACGGAGGAACAGAAGAAATACTACAATGCTATGAAAAAGCTTGGCTCAAAGAAACCACAGAAGCCAATTCCTAGACCATCAGTATGTTATTTTCAATAAGTAGATTGACGGTAGAATTACTGGATAAGCAGAAAAAAAAGGTAATAATAATAATAATAATAATGCTGCGCTTGTTTGCCATGTCTATTCCAGAACAGGATTCAAGGTTTCATCTTCGACTTCACCACGAAACAGAGCTTTGACATCATAATAATGGTTCTTATTTCGCTCAACATGGTCGCCATGATGGTGGAAACGGATGAAGAGTCACATGAAAAGGAGAACATTCTCTACTACATTAATGTGGTATTTATTGGCATTTTCACTGGCGAGTGTTTGCTGAAGATGATTTCCCTTCGCCATTACTTTTTCACCAACGGTTGGAATATATTTGATTTCATCGTGGTCATCCTCTCCATTATCGGTACGGTTTCACTACACCTTATCAATCACATTTCTGGGTGCATATATATTTGATATATTTTATATACCTGATTTCTTTATTTCCACAGGTATTATTCTCTCTGATGTCATAGAGAAGTATTTTGTCTCACCAACCTTGTTCAGAGTCATCCGACTGGCTCGGATCGGACGAGTCCTCCGCCTCATAAAAAGCGCAAAGGGGATTCGTACGCTTTTGTTTGCCCTGATGATGTCACTTCCGGCCTTGTTCAACATTGGTTTGCTGCTCTTCTTGGTGATGTTCATTTATGCCATCTTTGGCATGTCAAACTTTGCATACGTCAAAAGGGAGGCAGGAATCGACGACCTTTTTAACTTTGAGACTTTCGGCAACAGTATGATCTGCCTGTTCCAGATCACCACCTCGGCAGGGTGGGACGGTCTGCTGTCCCCCATTCTCAACAGACCGGACGATGACTGCAACGCTAAAAAAGAGAACCCTGGCAGTTCTGTTGTGGGCGACTGTGGAAACCCTCATGTGGGAATTGCTTTCTTCGTCAGCTACATCATCATCTGTTTCCTGATCGTGGTGAACATGTACATCGCAGTCATCCTGGAGAACTTTGGTGTGGCTACGGAGGAGAGTGCCGACCCACTGAGTGAGGATGATTTTGAGATGTTTTATGAAGTGTGGGAAAAGTTTGATCCTCATGCAACGCAGTTCATGGAGTACAATAAGCTGCCAGATTTCGCAGATGCCTTGAACCCGCCGTTACGCATAGCCAAGCCTAACAAACTGGAACTGATCTCCATGGACTTACCCATGGTGAACGGCGAGCGCATTCACTGCCTGGATATTCTTTTTGCTTTCACAAAACGTGTTCTCGGTGAGGGTGGCGAGATGGACATCCTAAGGGCACAGATGGAGGAACGCTTCATGGCCTCCAATCCTTCCAAAGTTTCCTACGAGCCAATCACCACTACTCTTCGTCGGAAACAGGAGGACACGTCGGCAGTCGTCATCCAGAGAGCATTCAGGGAGTATTTAAAGAACACCGTCGTCGGTAAACCCACGGACACAACCGCCGATGACATTCAGAAGGATGAGACAGTCATCAACAAGGAGGCTGTCATCGCAGATACGCTCCAGAAAAATCCAAACGTGGGTAAAGCTGAGCTGGCAGCTTCAACTGCCTCTCAGCTATCAGGTGACAGTACGACCACCGACGGACAAAACAAATATGAACAAGACAAGAGTGAAAAGGAGGTCGTGGAAAAAGACGTTCAAGACCAAGAGGAATAAAACACGTCTTGGAGATGGAAGAGAGGAATTGTAACTAATGACAAAATGTTTACACGGTTTGAAAAGTGACCAGGCAATCCTTTGAACACTCGACCTCAGGATGGATATTAACACCAGTCTGACTGTGCTAACTTAAAGGTAACGGTGCCTACACTGAGAGGTTGCTCATTCACGGCGCAGTGGGACCAAGACTGCAGCGTTCAAACGACTGTTTGTTGTGATGGGCAACAATTCTCAGAGTGTTCCAAAAGACAGAGTTAGTTTTTGCTTTGACTTGTACTGCAGCTAGTTCTGCTACCCAGTGTCTTGAATCATTGTCATATCACGCACTGTTGTGTTTCCTAAATAACAGATGTCGATGTTATTACTTTAGACTTGTAGCTTATTTTAAGTGACTTTTTGATACACATTTTTTAAACTCTCCGAACCACCTTCACTTCCAAGGGATGGTCTGAAAAACCACCGCGTCAGAGCTGACTGACTGTGGTCACTGACAACTCACGAGACATGAATGTTCTGCTTCACAAACCCAGGCAACAGTGTGAGAGTTTTTAAATATTAATGCAGATTTGCATGAATGTTTCTCTCTGATTATGCATGTCGGTGTTTTGCTTTCCTCAGACTCAGTGATGTGAGCTGCGGGACGTGTCCGATTTTTACACAAAATGCACTTTGGTTTACGTCTGTAAGGTCTTCATAAAGTCCAACTAATCCATTCTGGATTAGTTTGGTCTGACATCGATGCTTTGGAAACGCCAGATACATTAGAACCGAAGAAGCCTCTTGGATGAGAGGTGGAACGCTCTTCAGGAAACAAAGTCAGTCCAATATATTCTTCAGGTTTTTTATATTTAGACGACGACAAAGTTTTATCTTGACATTTTTCAACGGTGAGCTCCCCTCTTCCTCACTTTTGCTTGGTCTCTTTCTAGTTCTATAGCCTCAAGTATGTTTTGTTTTGGTTTCCAAATGTATTTTCTGTCACAGTACTTCGGTCAAGTTTATGAATGGTTTGATCGTCCAATCATTGATCTGATATCTCCCTCTAATGGAGGGCACTGATTTCCTACCTCTGTTACCTTTTGTCTTTTCTTTGTTGAATTGGTTTCCTTGCTGAGAACTCATCATTGGAACATGTCAGGGTAAAACGACACCAGGTTGTCTAAATATAGCATATATAGAATATATATGGTCTGTCCCAGAACAGGACTGTACCTGAACCTAGTGGAACTGGTCCACAGTTGTCCAGTGTTAGGTCACATATTACTAAAGTGAGAGGTAGTGTAAGTGAAATGACTATAAGTTTGGAAAAAACGAAGGCAAAACGAATCTATGGTTCAGGGGTCCATCTTTGGTAAAGAGGTGAAAATGACCTTATTAGCAATGACAGTCGTTCTGGTACTAGAGCACAGACACAGGTTTAAACCTGTTTAAACCATTTTGTTGTTGGCACACTGTTGTTAATCTTAATATATATTACCTCACTTATCTGAACCTCACTTACAGTTATCTGAAATATTTTCAAATTTGCATCATTGCAACACAGGTGTCCACTAGGGCAAAATGGATTTTTCTTTTTTTTTTATTTTATTTTATGGCAGTGCTGTGATAATTAAATTGGGAACATAACAGCTGTTCTGGGATCTGCTCTGTTCATCCTGACAGAGATCTGCTAAATATGTAGCATTAGCAGTACAGCAAGTTAAAGGCAAAATGTTACATGTACTAGTTATTCTACCCAATTTTGTTTTGTCTACCCTTATTTAGTTTTTGTAAATTGTTTCTATACAGTTTCCCTCCGAGTCTGATCTATCATTATGAATATCTACGATGAAGGAAAAACGGCACAGAAACTCCTGGATGATTATCTCAAAGAGACGACGTCCCACATCAAATGCCCCGGGCTGTTTCCTGGATTCTGTTTACATTTTGTGAGGGCGTCTGGGTGTGTTGGATTCTGTCTTCTTCCCCCCTGAAACTGTGTCACCTCTACATCTGTTCTTTCAGGTCTTACACTGTATAGTTCCATACATGTCAGTATATTTTGCATGGAGATAAAACTTTCAGTACTAACGCCGTACTTTGCATATTGAAAGAATGTTTTTCATAGACCTTGTCATCTGCTGTCACTCACATACAGAAATGCTTGTAGTGTATAAACCAACTGCATGCACAGCACCGCTGTAACCCAGTTCAATGGAAAGCCAAAAAAAAATAAAGATTACATTTACAGCAAGTGTGCGTTAAGTACTGATGTATTCATTTATATTGCGGTATGTGTTTTAAATATTGCTCCAGTGCTTTTGAAATGGATGTTTAATATATATCTAAATATATAGTTGACACTCAACAAAGGCATAGGTCAAAATGCAAATTTCAACATGTTTTCTCTAGTTTTTTAGACTCTACACCAGTGGGTGTAGTGAGTGTACTGAGACTTAACTAATACATTTTCACACCTTTTTTTTATTTCATTTTATTTGAATGGCCAGCCCCCAAATTCTGACCCTGATCTACATTTCATTACTGAATTGCTGTTTGAGTGACGCCATGAGAAATTCCAAATATTTCATCTTTTTTTTTTTTGCTCAAAATGTTGTCATATATTATTTTATAAAATGTAAACGACTTAAAGAACTCACCCCACCGATAATTAGGAGGCATTAAGTGACAGCATTTATTGATATGATCTCTATGTCTGGTTCCAGTGCTGATAGCTACAAACCACAATCAGCATTAGTGTCATTTCAGAACCTGTAAAATGTTGAAGCTATCAGTGTCCATTTCATGTGCAAAATGTAATGAGCACTCAAACTGTTAATGGCCTGACTTGTATTGATCTCCTGAATCTCCTGGGATATTGAAAGCACTTATGAATACATGACTTTAAGCAAATAATCTTGAGTGACGTGACAAAACACTTCACTTCACTGCACTGCAGTTTCCTTCCTGGCCAGAGCAAAACACTGACTTTTTTTATTTTTTTTTAATCCAACATTTGCAAAGGAATCTGGTGTCTGGCTTCTGACTGTGCTTTGTGGCTTCTGCCGGAAACTATTAGCATCTTAAGTGGGTGGAACATTTTTTATTAATTATTAACAGCCCAAATATTCATTACAGTCCAGCATTGCTTTTACCTATTGTGACTGCGTAGTAAACAGAATCCGGAAGACAAAGTGCTGATCATTTTTGGCCATTCTGCCTCACAATGATGATGTGAATATCAACTTGTGCCACACCCACTCTCACACTGTCATTCCTACCGTTATTTCCCCGACAGGAGTCTGTCAGCACTTGTGAGTTTTCCAGATAAATGGCAACAGGCATGCTCCTGAAAGTGCAGTCATTTCATGGATATGATGCTGGAAATTGATATAAAATGTCAATTGAAATTCTCGCTAATTCTCACTATGGCATCTGCTAATATTGATATAAAGTGTCAATTGAAAGTCTTGCTAATTCTCACTATGGCATCTGCTAATATAAGACAACACATCCATCATGTGATATGCTTTGGAAAAGTCATGTTACATAAAGCAGCCCACACACCTAGGTAATAAACAGCTGAGGTTTTAGACCACGTGCTCTTCCACGTGACTTCCATCGTGTACTTTAGTGGTTACGTCGTCATCTCTAATAAATTTGATAAAAATGTCTTGTTGCATCATTCTGACTTATAGTGTTAAAATTCAAAGCGAACGGTGTTGCTTATAGTGTTAAAATTCAAAGCGAACGAATACGTGGTCACACGGCGCTATACACCAATTAGACGGCTTTGTTTATGTTACATTTCTGCAACTCATTATTATTTATTCAAGTTATTGTACATTCTTTGTAGTAAAAAGGGAATTTATTAGCTCCCGTGGGCCACACAAAATAACTTGGCCTTAGATTGACAGATGTCCTAGATTATGATGTTACCGCTGTTAGTGTAGGTAAGTGACATAGTATGTGAGTATGTGAGTTCTGATGTTACACTCACAGTAGTCAATTCTGTCTAACATGAAGATACTTAGATTTTTACCAGCACCTGGTATACTCTAGGTTGCTTTACTGCCATCTGCAGGGTTGTTTGTTTTTTTAAATCAATCATACTGTCTTTTTTCAGCAATGGAGTGGATCGATTTTTGTATGTGGTTTACTTTTGTCTGCAAGCCCCAGACAAAGTGAGCGATAACATACTTGTGGACTTTTCAGTGTACTGCAAATGAGAACGGAAGTCTACCTAGACCAAAATCTCGCCATCGGTGTGCACGTAGGAGCTTGGTGGGAAAAAAATAAATAAAAGAAGCAACAATTCAGAAAGAAATCTGAGAATGCTGCCCGTAACAGTTCTGTAATTTTATTTTCTGAAGATAGATGGGAAGAAAATCCCATTAGATTAGATAGTGGTGAGTTCCCTCCACCCACCTTCTCCATGTGCTAATAGACAAACACTCAGGCACATGGAAACACGTCTTCTCACTCTTTATTCTCAGCTACTAAATTTCACTCAGACACACAAACACTTTTCAGTCACTGACAGTGGCACACACAATTTAAATTTGAGGAAATTTGTAAAAAATAAAATAATTAACATTAGTATTTAATCCTGTTGCATGTGGAAAACAGAATAGAGAGTCAGTTGGCAAATGAGCTGCTGGTATTATTGGGCATGGTTCTTTGATCAATAATGGCTTGTACAAACCACAATGGATACAGCCATTAGAATGCTATAGCAGTGTATCCCATGGGGTAGATATTCCACCATATTTCCCCTAATAGGTTTTTAGATGCATTCTTTGTAAGTGCAACAACACATGCAGTATTTATTGCTCTTTGCTAAGTACCACACCATGACCATCCTCCATGCAGTATACCATATATTAGCATTATTGACACGGTATATCATTTGGATTGATAAATTAATAAAGGTAAAATAGTTGATATTATGAATTGTGCATGTTTTAAATAAACTGTGAGCTAAAAGCACCCAACGTTTACCATAGCTCCACACACACACACTTGGGGCTCGATACCAACCTGATTTACTCTCCCATTGATGTGTGCTGCACACTGTAATGATTATGTGCCACTGTCGGTGCTAAATAGTATCTGACAAGGCATGGAAAGGTCTTTCCTGCAACAGCTGCAACCACACTGGATCCCAGCTGCTCCTGCCATGGACTTTGCACCGGAGAGATCAGGAGTTCAAACAAAACAGTCAATGTGTTGTGTTGCATAACACAGCACTGCACTGCTCACCGCTGGGTGGGTATGAAATGTTTCCCCTGCATATGATGAGCTTTGCGACGCTGTTTGGCCAAGAGATGATTTGCATGTTTTATTTTGTTTGTTTCTGTTGGTTTACATCCCCACACTAAGCCTCTTGACCACATGGATTCCACATTTGTTATTGTAACTACCGTAGCCACCGAGCTCCTCCAAATGATTTACATATATTCAAAGTGGGTTAAAGCCACTTTAACATGCAGTATTTCAGTCGTATAAATATTGAAATGAATAAATAAATGAATAAAATTTGTCATCTACCATCCACATCCATAGAGTATAAAGATAAATACATAACAAGCGAAGATAAATAAATCCCCAAAATATAATATAAGGATATAAAATATTTACATGTGTATATTTTAGGTTTGTTTGGATCTGCTGTTTGATGTAAAGTAAGATTCTACAAAACCTTTGTCAGGTAAGGCATGTATGGATGCTTTAGATATTTTAAGTATGTTAAATGTATGTATGTACAGTATGTGTGCAGTTATAAGTGAATGTGCACTGCCCTCAGATGTATTAATCAACCACATGTGATTTGTTTGATGTGCTTTATTTACTTAGCTAATTTTAACATTTTTTGATTATTTATTTCAGTTTATTTAATATTACACTTGTTATATTTAACATTTATATTGTTATTGGATTCTAATTAACTTTTAGTTTGAATATATTTGTTTTGACTAATCACAAATATCACAAAAAAATATTTAAAAATATGCTTATATGTGATGTTAGTTTGTGTTATATGGTATGAATCTTACTTTTAAATTTTTATTGAATATCTAGAAATACCTTTATGAAAAGGTGACTGCTCCACCTAGAGTTACTTAGCAAACTAGCTCGATAGAAAAACAGCAGAATTTTTTCCTAAATTTAGTCTGTCAGGCTTTAAACCCGAAAAATGTAACTATCTTTTCCTGCCTTTTACTTGTTGGTTGTATTGGCAGCCATTTTAAAATACAACAAAGTTCAGATTTCTCTGTTGTGTATATAAATTGATAAACAACTGCTTAGAACCAAGGGGTTTTAACATAGTTCAGCGCCTGGGGCTTGCCTGATAGAATATCTCAGGGAAAATTAATCCCACTGAAATTCATCGTTCCTTAGTTACCAGACAACGCTTGAGGAGGGGATGAAAAATGGCGACAAAACAACAAAAACGCTAATATTATTCTTGTTGTTCTAAAGTAAAAGACAGACTGATGTAACATATTTTCACGCCGGCCACTCAACACCTAATGTAAGATGGAGGATGAAGAGACAACCTTGGTGAGTGGAAATGAGAACGATAGACAAGTTAGCGCTGTTTGCAGCTTATTACAAGACAGCAAGAGTTTAGCTCATTTATTTCGCAGAGCAAGAGTGATTTTTCTGCAATGACATTATTTGATAGAAGTAATGGCCGTGTTTGGAACGCAAAAGTATCCTTCGATAGTGTATGTTACAAGCTAAAACTAGCTAACATGAGCCGGTTGTGGAGTTGTCGTATTTTTCTCTTAATAGGTGATTCCTTATGGCGAATTCATATTGAATAAATAGCATAGTAAATAGGGATTCTGTAGTGTCAGAGTGTGAATACACACTTCCTTAAAACATCCAAGAAGACGAAAAAAAAGAGACGTGAGATATAATTCTTTATATAAATATGGACAGCGCCGAGAATAACTTAGGTTGACGCCAAATGTGGACAGCGCCGAGAATAACTTAGGTTGCCTTTTCAAGATTTGTCCGCTACGGCCACCATACTCTAAAACAAATCACTTCAATAATTTGGTTAATTCGTTTACATACGTATTTATTAAGCCAGGTGATATCTTAGTTATTTCGTTTTTAAATGACTGTTATTACTATCCTAGGGTCCAAAGGTTAGCTGTAGACATGTTTTTGTATTATTATTATCGTCATGTACATAGGGTCCAAACTTGCTTAAGGTAAGGTTAGCTGTAGACATGTTTTTTGTATTATTATTATCGTCATGTACGCTTGTTTTATTGGTCTTTACTTTATATTTAAAATGCGTCATATGCTCCTTTTTTGGATTTGAGGTTGCGTTTTTTTTTTTATTTGGGTTTCAATTAACTTTAGTCTCAATACAAGCCATGACTGAATTATTTAATTTCCGCTTTTTCTGTTTTATTTTCTCTTTCTAAGTGTTTAACTTTCTTCCATTTACAATAAATTAATTACAAGTATTACTGGTAATATTCACTTGTTTATTGTGGTGGAGGATGACGTGAGAAAAGCTAGAAGCCAATCTGAATGGAAGTACTCTGACAGCTACTTGTATATTGATGAATGACAAAACAACAATGATCTACCATTTTTTCCTAGCCTAGGGGACACAACCACCTTTTATTCTGTGGCCAGTCATTACCAATTATAAAAAGGCAGGTATGTTTTTAACCTACCTTTGGTCAACACTGACTCCAGCTACTGTTTGCATCTACACAGACTTTGATCAGATACTACTGCTTTGAGAAGCACTTCAATCATGCTGTCAACACTGCAGCCGCTGCCAAAAAGAAGTTCAGCCATGATCCCATCTACAGTTTTTTCCATGCCTATGGCTGCCTGATGCAGGGTAAGTCTGAGCCAATCAATAAATTAATGGCATTAGCCCTTTCCTGTTCCTCAGACTGTTCTATCTTCAATGTAGGCTGCATTTTGCACTTATGTTTCTGTCTGACTTCAGATCAAATTCGAGAAGCCACGGCAGAGCTGGACACATTAAGAGACAGCCGAGACGTGTCTCTTTGCACTCTGATGGCACTTGTTTATGCCGAGAGGAAAAAGAGCAACCCAGGTAATCCAGATTAAATTCCTTTAATAATCTCACACAAGCACAAACCCACCTGTTCATTAGAGTCCGTGTGGTGTTTTTGTTGGTTTGTTTTTACAGACAGAGAAGTCATCCAAGAACTTGATGCTAAGGTCAAAGAGGATAGGAAAAGTGCAACTCCCAAGGGTCTTTACTATGCCGGACTGTTCCTGTGGCTGCTAGGGCGAAATGATAAAGCGAGAGAGTACACAGAGAGAATGATCAAACTATCCAACGGCTCCAGAGAGGTGAGCTGTGTCACATTTAGAAGATTTTTTTAAATAAGAAATGCCATGAAAAGTATTTGAGTGTATGAAATAAATAATTTTTTTACACAGGGTACAATACTGAAGGCCTGGATAGATGTGACATCAGGTAAAGATGCCTACGCCAGGAAGGCTGGAAAATACTTTGATGAAGGACTGAAAGAGAGAACAGATGTTTTTGCCTTGATGGGAAAGGTGGGTCAGAATTTAAAAGAAACCTTTTTATTATTATTATTGTTTTCCCTAACCCAATGCTATGTTTGGTTTATAGGCACAATATTACGAATATCGTCAGAACTACTCTGGAGCTCTGGAGTTAGCTAACCAGGTCGTTGTGAGTTTCCCTGAGTTTTTTCCTGCTCTTACCAAGAAGATGAAGCTGTTGCTCAGCCTTCAGGACTGGGAGCAGACCATAGATGCTGCCCACAGGTAATGTTTGATTGATGTTTTTGTGCACAGTGACACACAGAGGTCATGGTTATACTGTATGACTCACAGTAAGTAATGACACAGGCTGCTTTAAGAATTGTTCTCACCATTTAAAAGCAAAATGAAACACTAACATGTTTCATGGCGTAAGTTAGTGTTTTTCAACCTTAGGGTCGCACCCCCACGTAGAGTCGCCTGGAATTCCAACAGGGTCACCTGAAAAGTCTAGTTATTGATAAAAAAAATTACTGATAAAAGATTTATTCCAATACAGTATAACAAATATGATTAAAGAAATCACTTCTAGCACAAAAGACAATGTCGCCAGAAATTTGTGATTTCAAATTAAGATCACAAGCCAAAAAAAGGTTGGGAACCACTGGTTTGAGCCATGTATTTTAGATTCTGGCCCCAATATGTCTGTCCAGAGAAATTATCTCCCTCCGACAAATATAGTGCTCTTCTCCAGGCTCTTATCCAGGTTGTGCAGTCAAATCTTTAAGTTGTGTTACGATTAGCTGAAAGTTTTGAACAACAGTCTACTCCTTCTCCTCAACCGCAGCCACAAATTATTTTATTCTTAGCTTTAATTTTGTTTGCTTGAAAGCTTGATATGGTATAGCTGCGGTATTGTATATTCTATTACTATCAATCAGTGAAATCTAAGCTTATTAAGTGTATAGGATGAACTACATTCACTTCACCTTGTGTCATGTTTCAGGCTTTTACAGAAGGACAGAAATAGCATTGAGGCAATACGGATGTTGGCTCTGCATTCCTTGTGTAGAGATGGACATATTACCGAGGTAAAGTTCACGCACCTTTACGCAATCGCACCTTTACATCGTAGGACTAGAGGTCAACAAACATATTTCCAGTCTAAAAATTTCTTTTCTTGCAGTCAGTAAAGCAGCTTTCCAACCTCATCAGCAGCCTGGACAACACCGAGCCCCACAACCCTGAGCTTTACTACAGAATGTCTCTGGCTTTCACTCGTGTTGTAAGACAAAATCTTTAAAATTGATTCAGTGGAAATGTCAAATAAATGGTATATGACTCTGGTGTATTTCCCAAAAAGTGTGGACGAAATGAGAAAGTGATCGAGCAGACGTTCAGGATGGTGGAACGAGCCTTCACCGTGGCTTCCAAAGACTCAGATTTTGCCACAGAGTTGGGTTATCAGATGGTTCTTCAGGGCAGAATCAGGGAGGCAATGAAATGGTACAAGACTGCAATGACTCTGGATGAAACCAGTGTGGCTGCTTTGACAGGTTACGTATTTGTATATAATATTTACATATGTATTATATATATATATATTGTACTTATATGTCAATGTAATTACATATATTTAAATATAAAAAGGTTACACTTGTTTTTCCTCTCTGACCTTTAGGCATTATTCGTTGCCAGCTCATAGAAGGACAACTGGATGATGCCGAACAGCAGTTGGAATTTCTTACAGAGATCCAGCAGTCCATTGGAAAATCCGCGGTAATGTCTGCCTGTAAATACTGAAACATTGTTCTCTTTGTACACATACTTGCAACACTGGTAGCTCCACCCTGACTACCACTCCAGATTGAAGTTGTTGTTTTGTGTGTGTGTCTCAGACTGTTTATTATCATCCATATATTTACTTCTTTTTCCTTTCACTCCTTCAGGAGCTGTTATACCTGCGCGCTGTCCTCGCCGTGAAAAGGAACCGGCCACAGGAGGAGATTACAAACATCTTGAATGATGCCGTGGACACACACTTCTCCACGCTGCAGGGTCTGCCTCTGGGAGTGGAGTACTTTGAGAAGCTTAACCCTGACTTTCTTTTGGACATCGTCAAAGAATATCTTTCACTCTGTCCTGCAAAGGTACGGCAGTATGCAGTTATGCAGTATATTTCCACTGACTGATTTGTTTCACATGTACAGTCTTATATAGTTAGGCTTCAATGTTATTTACTTTGTTTCTACCCTGGTAACAAATAATAAAAACAGAATATTTCACACAGGATTAATATTTATACAGAAAAAGTTTTTAAGTACTCAAAGGGACCACCAAGGTGCGCTAATGAGCACACTGCCTGCCTGATTCCTTTTATTTCTTCAACCCCTCCCTCTAAGAGTGATTATTAATACACAATAATGTCCCAATTTAACTGTGCAATATTGTAGCCAAATTTTGTTTTATAGTGAAATATTGCAAAATTTTATAGCAAATTTTATCTGCTGAACTTCACATTTTTGTTGATGCTGTGTAATTATAATGGTTGTGGTTTTATTTCTTATTTTGTCTTATTCCTTGTATGTATATATATTTTATTCAACATAAATTATATTGTTCTACCTTTATGCACATTATAAATTGTGGAATAAAAAAAATCTGGTTGTGTGGGGAGCAAAGTGATTGATAAATTGTGTTTATTTTCATCTTACTGCTTGTTATTCTAACTGAAGTTAATAAAAATGTCCCTAATGTTGTTTTATTTTGTTTTTATTTTTAGCCTCCAGCTCAAGGCCAGGCTCCTCCTCCACAACTCCAGCACTGCGCCTCACTCTTGGACACCGTGGTCAAAGTGGTTCCAGGTCTCCTCCAGGGGGTTTTCCTGCTGGCCAAAGTCAGATATCAGTCTGGTGAGTGCTGTATTTTCACAAAGGATTAGAATGAGTTCACCGACTGTCTTTCTTTTTTTTTACTGGCCTCTGTGTTTTCATACAGGTGATGCTGAGGCGGCTCAGAGCAGTTTGAACCACTGTTTGGAACAGTGTCCCTCTCATGCAGACGCCCACCTACTGATGGCACAGATCCATCTGCTGCAGGGGAACTTCACGCTGTGTTCCCAGTCTCTTGAACTCTGCCTCAGTCATAAATTTGAGGTAAGATACCGTTTTAGTTTTGAAGCAGCAGATGACTGAAACACTTGGCAAAACACCTTAAACTCACAAGTCTGACGTCCCTTATTATATTCAAGACTATATACAGAGAGATTGTAGTTCACTGTTTCACACAACCATTTATTTTTGTACTAATGATGCTTGATCTATATTGATGTATTTTCCATTGCGTGATGTCTTCATATGTCTTCATGTATCTGTTCTCTGTTCTATCTGTTCTCAAACATTGACCTAGTCAAATAATATGTATCTGTAATTGTTTCTGTCACAACCTCTCATGTTAGCAGAATCAGTTCTCAAACATTGACCTAGTCAAATAAATAAAACCGTATACTAGGATAAGTTTAATGATACTTAATTCAAATACTCTACTCGTACTTGAGAACCTGCTGATTCAGGAACTGGATGCTACGCAACAGCTTTTCACTACAATCAGCTCTGTCAACAGGTATTGTGTGTTTTCCTCCTTTAGATCGTTTAGTCTCACTGTGGTATTTATTTAGCAATTTGATAAAAGCTGCTCCATAACACTAAATACGCTAATGTCTCTCCACAGTTGAAAACGTATTCAGTGAACATCGCATGTGTTGATTTGCTTATGAAAACATGGAATTAGTACTACACATGTAATTAAGCTTTGCTCACTTTCTGTTCAGCCGACTGTGTTAACCCCTGCAAAAAGTTTTTTTTTATTTATTTCATCTTTAGTTTTATAGACGTATTGTATAATGAGAAAGATTTAATTTGATGTGTCACTTCATAATGTCTTCTCCAGATTCAAGAACATCCTTTGTACCACCTGATCAAGGCTCAGAGTAAGAAGAAAATGGGCGAGCTCACAGAGGCTATTCAGACCCTGCAAATGGCCATGAGTCTTCCGGGTGTTCGCAGAGCTGGATCTTCCTCCAAGTCCAAGACTAAGAAGATCGAGCTGAGCCCAGCTGACTGTGTCTCTGTCTTCTTGGAGTTAGCTGAAGCTCTGTGGCTCAACGGTGAACAGGTATGATACATTACGATTAGGTTCTTGTTGTTTTTTTATGTTTTTTTTTAAAGCTATGTCTGGATTTGAATACGTTGTTGTTGAATTGATATTTCAGCACGAAGCAGCAAAGGTGATGCAGGATGCCATCAATGAGTTCTCCGGCACACCTGAGGAGCTGCGTGTGACTATTGCTAATGCAGACCTGGCTCTGCTGCGAGGCGACACCACACTGGCGCTAAGTATGCTCCGAAACATCACCCCCGAGCAGCCCTATTATATACAGGCCAAGGAGAAAATGGCTGACATATATCTGAACCACAGGAAAGAAAAGCGTCTGTATGCCAGCTGTTACAGGTGAGAGGAAAATTAACATTCAAATTATAACTCAAAACACCACACTGCAACACATGTGACATGGCTGTGTTGTTCTCAGAGAAATGGTGGAGAAGATGCCCAGTCCTCACACATACCTCCTGCTCGGTGATGCCTACATGAATATTCAAGAGGTGAGTCTCATATTTCAGCAATACTTTATTGATCCTCAATGTGGGAGGAGGTGAGAGGTTGTTTGTGTAACAGCTGCTCCTGCAAGAGCATTTGAAAGTCTGTACTAAGCAGAGCTGGCTCCTGATGTAGGCCACAGAAACGGTCGTCTAGGGCGCCCTCTGCTGGCGTTGTTGATGCAGTAATCCCTTAGGAATGAGAGTGCTAGGGGGCACCAAATCAAAGGTTGACATATTATAGATGTATTATTCATTACATATTATAGGATATTAAGATATATTATAGAATATATATGTGTATATGTAGATATATATGCATCTATGTGTATATATGTATAAATATATGTGTATATATGAATATATATGTATCATATTATAATATTAGGATGTTATAGACTGAGATTACAAAATGTATTTTCATATGGTATGTTTTACTACTCTGAGTCAAGTGGAAATTGGAAAAATAAACAGGACATTCTTGTGTTTCGGTGATTGGTTAAATTCTGAGTTTGGTCAGAGAGTAGACCATCTGGTTACCTGCAGGTTTTATGGATAGCAACCAAAGCCTCATCCGTCAACGTCAGTCACGTTGATGCATTCTCTGGTTGTGGGTGAAGACTGAGCTCAACAGGTTTTAGGTTTCATACTATCCGGTTTTTCGTGTTCACTAAATGTTTAAAAATGATGTAACACCTCACTGATGTTTTCTTTTTTTTAAATCAACACTGAAGCAAACAGGACGTGGTGACCTCACTTATTGTCATGTGTTTATTCTCAGCCAGAAAAGGCCATTGAGGTTTATGAATACGCGTTGAAGAAAAACCCCAAAGATGGAGCTCTAGCTAGCAAGATTGGAAAGGCCCTGGTCAAGACCCATAACTACGTCAAGGTTTGTTTGTTCACTTATAAACAGAAGCCTCACAAAGACAAACTACCGCTGACGTAACCTGGCTCCTCTGTAGGCAATAAATTACTACGAAGCCGCTCTGAGGGCCGAGCAGCAGAACGTCTTACGTTACGACCTGGCTGAGTTACTGATGAAGATGAAGCAGTTTGAGCGCTGTGAGAAAGTCCTGCACGACGCCCTCGACCATGAACCAGGTGTGTCTGGTGTCAGAGGTGTTTTCCCACACATTTAATGAACTGATCACAAACTATTAATAAAAGAGACTTTGTTCAGACAACAACTCCGGTTGTTGATATTGATATTATGATATTGATAAAGTGAAGTAAAATATTATAAAACTATTGGTTTTTTTTCATATTTAATATTTATTTAGGTCAGAATATGTTTTCTTTTTATCTGAAGATTTCTATATGGCCTGACTTACAGCTTAGTAAAAACTCATTATTGTCCCACACAAAGTTTTTAAAGTAAATATTTAATACCAAACACAAACTTTGTTCCTATATTTTTGGTAAAAAAATTTCAGTTCGGAGTTTCAGAGGGGCTTTCCACCATATACTTGTGTTCAGTAAGATTTATCATCATGTTAGGGTTGTGTTAGTTTCTGTGTTGTTTATTTCCTTGTGTAGAAAAAAAAAAAAAGATAAACAGAGACGTTTGTTTAAAACAGGTACGGTACTGATTGTTTTGTTTTGTTTTCTCTTTATGTTCCACTCTTGTTCTACCCAGTGAATGAACTGCCAGTGCTCTCAGATGACTGTCGGTATCAGGTCCTGTTGGCAAAGGTCAAAAATAAGGTCGGGAAAAATGAGGAAGCTTTGCTTTCCCTTCAAAGAGTAAGTTCCCCTCGTTATTTGGCTCCTTTTTTGAGATTCCGTACTGTACAAGTCAAGATGTTTAGAACAGATGTTCCCATTTGATAACATTATAACTTTGTCAAGCGTAAAGTTCCTCCTGAGCAGTGACTTTTAACTGGGAGATGAAAGAGGTTCGATAAACTGTTTATTCACTGTGGCTTTGACTGTGGGAGCAGAGTGGCTTGAAGACCGGTTTGTACTGGTTTGCAATTCTTTTTTTATGATTAATTCAGAACACAGACACGTCTAATGTTGAGGGAATGTGTGTATGTTAATTAAATTACATTATTTTCATTTAGTTATTTAAAGTAAATTGTTTTACTCAAAAGAGGTTTTGGTTTTATTTTAATTTTAAAAAATATCAATGGCAAATATCATTTGAGATGTCTAAAGTAGAAATAGCGAGCAAAAGAAAAAAGAAAAATATATATAAATAAAAATTAATATATATACATATATGAATATAAATATATATATATATATATAATGATAAAGTATATGCTGACGATGTGATCATTCTAATTGTGTGCATTGCTTGCTGATAGGCCCGGGATGTCCAGGCCAAGGTGCTGAAGCGGGTGCAGTTGGAGCAGCCCGATGCCATCCCCATGCAGAAGCAGCTTGCCGCCGAGATCTGCGCTGAGATCGCTAAACACTACACAAGTCAGAGGGGCTATGAGAGAGCGGTCAAATTCTACAAAGAGGCTCTTGTGTATTGTGAGACCGATCGAAAGGTCAGCGCGGCCGAATCAAAAACGTTCTGTGTACTCACTGCAGCTGTGGTTAACAGGCATCATTTAGTGTCTTGTCCCTGTAATTTTAAAATTCCGTGACCTTAGTTGTGAAATGGTTTGACCGGAGAAAAAGCTTTGACCGGCCTTCATTCTTTCACACGTACACTGGTCACATGAACGCCATCCAAATGAATGAGTTCCCTGTCTGTAGGTGATGATGGAACTGGCTCGGCTCTACCTCACCCTGGACGAGGTCGATGCGTGCCAGGAGCAGTGCAGCGTCATCCTGAAGAACGACCAGTTCAACGAAGACGCAACGCTGGTTCGTTCTGTTCGTCTGTCGCCACAATTGTGTTTGACCTTTTCTTTGGAACTTGAGCGTGGCCCTAATTTGTTACATGTGTTTGCTCTCAGATGATGGCTGACATTATGTTTAGGAAGCAGGACTATGAACAGGCAGTTTTCCACTTCCAACAACTGCTGGAGCGCAAGCCAGGTGCCAGTAAAGTCACGTTTCGTGTTTTGTTAACCTTCAATTTGTGTTCAGTGTAAATATGAAGTGCTGATTTGACCTTCTTAGAAAAGTAACACATCAGATCTTCCGCCTGTTATTGCAGACAACTACCCGACTCTGTCACGTCTTATTGACCTGTTGAGAAGAGCTGGGAAGCTAGAGGAAATCCCCAGATTTTTTGATATGGCAGAAAAACATTCGTCAAGATCTAAGTTTGATCCTGGTTACAATTACTGCAGAGGACTTTATCTTTGGTGAGAATGGAATCCTGGACTATTTTTATTATCACCCATCAAATGTAGGACATGCTGTGATTGGGCGATGTGCTGTCTCGTCAGGTACACAGGAGAACCAAACGACGCCCTGCGACACTTTAACAAAGCACGGAAAGACAACGACTGGGGTCAAAATGCCGTGTATAACATGATTGAAATCTACCTGAACCCTGACAACGACACGATGGGTGGAGAAGTGTTTGAGAATCTGGATGGAGAAATTGGGTGAGAAGAGAAAAAAATATACGTGACTTGTAGTTTCCAAAATAATACTGTATGTGTTGAAAAATGTGAAAAATACCAGATAGAGATTTATCTCCAGGTTTCATTTTTTCTGTCTCTTGTTAGAAACTCCACTGAGAAGCAGGAGTCGGAGCAGCTGGCTGTGAGGACTGCGGAGAAACTACTGAAGGAGTTAAAGCCCCAGACGGCAGGCGGACACATACAGCTCAACATCCTGCAGAACTACTGCATTATGGCAACCAAGCAGAAGGCCCATATAGAGAAGGCCCTGGGTGTTTTCACAGAGATTGCAAACAGTGAGGTAAGTAAACTCCAGATGGTGCACACGATTAGCATCACCCTGCCTCTGCTCTGTCAACACACCCACACTGGAGGGTATATTTACTCCCTTAATGTCACTCATTCCATTTCCTATTAAACTGCACACCTGACATCTGTGGTGGGCCCATTCCAGTGCTGTGTGTAGTTTACTCATGTAGAAAATGTTGCTGTTTTTGAATGAATAGGATGTGGATGCAGACCTTTGAAATGTTGCTGTTTTTCCTGCATAATTCAACGTTGACTGTTTATATGAATAGGATGTGGATGCAGACCTTTGTTGCAAAGGGAACATGTGGCCGACCAATAGAAGAAGATCCTTGATTTTTGCATTTAAATAAAATGAAATTTGTGCTCTGGAGACAAAGAGTTTTTCATCAACGTTTTTAATTTTACTTTCCGCCCACGACCCCAAACCGTGCACATTAAGAGGATTAGATCAGACCCTTGTGACCCTGCAAAGGATTCATTATTCATTTATTATCACTCCTTTAAAAATACATATCAGGAAAGCAGAGGGGGTCAGTGTTGTGAGATGAATCCTTTCTAAACCAAATTCTTTGGGTGGATTTAGAAAGACCACGTCCCTGCACTGTTGGCCATGGCGACGGCTTATATGATGCTCAAACAAACGCCGCGGGCCAGGAACCAGCTCAAACGCATCGCCAAGATGAACTGGAGCATCGTCGACGCCGATGAGTTTGAGAAGAGCTGGCTGCTCTTGGCGGACATCTACATCCATTCAGGGAAGTATGACATGGCCGGCGATCTCTTGAAGAGATGTCTCAATCATAATAAGGTCAGTGCTGGGAATCCCAGTGTTTGATTTCAGACATATTTGCTGACAATAATAGTGCTTTTCTCCCCAGTCGTGCTGTAAGGCTTACGAGTATCTCGGCTACATCATGGAAAAAGAACAAGCGTTCCGTGATGCAGCACTCAACTATGAACTGGCCTGGAAATATGGAAATCGGACCAACCCGACTATAGGTGAGTCATCGGGTCCTGTTTCTGTTAGTGCGACAGAAAACACATGAATCATCAGAATTACTGTAGAGGTTCTTCAATCTTCTGTTTTCCCCGTTCCAGGATACAAACTGGCTTTTAACTACTTAAAGGCCAAGAGACATGTTGATGCCATAGATGTGTGTCATAAGGTAGGAGGCAGCAGAGAGACTTTACAGTTTCAACAGTTTACAAGTGTTTTTTCTAATCCCATTAATCATGTCTGTTTTCACCCAAAGGTTCTGGCTGCTCATCCGAATTACCCGAAAATGAGGAAGGAAATTCTGGACAAAGCTCGTGCTGCGCTGAGGTCTTAGCGCTGGACTTGTCTCGTGTGTCTTTGTGGGGTTTTTTTCTTTCTTTTTTATGTGAATGTGGAGCGGTTTTCTTTAATAAAACATAAGGTCAACTTTCATAGAATGCACTGCTATGATTTGAGTGCAGAGAATGTGCAGGTATTTTAGTCAAACTTTTTGGGGGAAACCCTCTTTAATTCCATATTGACCTTTGAAGTGTATAAATAGCTGAGTGCTGACATTCCTGGAGGAAAACCACAGAACCCAGAAAAATAGAGGAGGGGGTTTCACACACCTGCAGGTGTTCTTCCCTCAGAAAGACTCTAAACTAAATTAAAAAGGAAACATTGTTTTTAAATGGTTTAGTCCAGTGTTTCCAAAAACTTTTTTTTGGGGGGGGGGCACCCATATGTTAAAAGTCACAAACCTTTGCGACCCAAATCAATAGACATTATTCGTACTCCTGGGAAACATGATGTGAGATGAGCCCCCCCAAAAAAAAATCTGGGGTCGCGACCCAGTCTTCAGTGTTGTTTTTCAAGGGGTGCAGAGATGGAGCAGGGTCACATGACTGTATATATTGTACAAATCTGTGTTGTTTATAAACTGAGCCTAGTTCCATTTATAACCATACCTTGTTTGGGTTGGGGTTTTTTTTACTATTTTAATAATACACAGATTCCAGATACCATTGTCTGTTTGAATCTTGTCTGTCAACTTCATGCTTTATAAATGTATGTGAGCATTTTAATTTGTTGCGAAACAAAAACTAATTAAACACGGGGTTGGATTGTGCAGAAGGTTCCAGATTTTCTAAATATATAGTTTCTCTTCTCTGTAAAATAAAGTTTCATAAATAAAGTCTTTGAATTTCTATTTACATTTCTATCACTGTCTAAAAAATATAATTTGATAATTTATTCCAGGATTTATTGCCCTTTAAATGTGAAAAAATGAAAAAGGTAAGATTTTCAAATTTCAAATTTTTTTAAAATTTTTTTTTACATCATGATAGTTTTTCATTGGCCCTTTTTTTCCCCTCTCAGAATCTGACCACCACATTTCATCAGCTGTCTCTTCTCCCGAGCGAGGCTGGAAAAATAAATGTTGGACGCAGTGAATATTTTAATGGACACAATAAACCGAATTCCTGCCGGGAATAGGAAGTGGCTGTGAACCTGCAGATGGACCGAGGAGTGGGAGTCAAAGGCGGGGAGGCTTCACACTGACTGCAGCCTGACTCCCTGTGGCTGCGGCTCCTCCAGACTTCCAGGATCATCCGCTGGGATAAAGCTGGGAAATTAAAGTCTTCAGACTGGGTCCAGAGTTTTCTGGTGAGTGTCACATTGACAGCCTTAACAACGTGTTCAGATCTGGTTCCACGCGTAAAGATACTCAGGTTTTTTTTTTCTTTCTTTCTTTTTTACTAAACACACGTGCGTTTTGGGTTCCTTCAAGTGTGTGCGCCGTTTTCTCACACAGCCTGATTGGATGCGGTGGGCTGTGTGGGGGCATGGTGCGTTCCTGCCTTATTTGTAACCCAGCAACTGTGCCGGCGAATGAGCAGTTGAACAAATCCTGTTAATGACACCGCTGCTGGATGTGAGCAGCTCCGTGTGCGCAGACCGCTGCAGCCGTTGGAGCTGCAGAAAGTCCGGTTCCGCGCTGGTGTTGACTGGTTTCGGTTGGAATTAAACATTGTGACTTTAATTGTGACGGAAGCCCCACCGAGGACGGACCAACACTGGAGTTTTTCCCCCCCAGAGTGTCGTTTGTCCTCCAGGTATGGATTTTGACACGCTGGAGTCCCGTGTGCGCAGGCGCGCCCCCACGTCTCCTCCTTCTACCTGAGGGGAGCGCACCTTGATCCAACGAGACGGAAGTTTTGTGTGAAAAGAAGACGGCGAATCTTTGTTACCACTCCGCCGCGGAAAGTTGGTTCGCATTGCAGGCGAGAAGTGATTAGAGCTCCGGTCAGATCGAGATGCCATGCGGTGGACTGTAGAGGAGAAGTTTAAAGGGCTTTTCCAAGCGTAACCTGCGGTGGTTCAGCAACTCATGGTACGTGGACTTTTTCACAGTCGAAATAGAGAGAAAAGAAAGTCTTTCAGTCTGATTTCAGGAGCCGTTTTAAAACTCTGTGTTTGACATCAGTTAAATACCACGTCACAGAAAGTGTGTTTTCTTTTTATATTCAGATCCACAGCATAACTAAGATTGATTTTTTTTAAAATAACAATTTAAGTCACTGCATATAGATTCATCCCCTGATTATTCTGGCTAATCTGTAAAAATCACTGACAATCCACTCTGAGATTGTGGATCCACCTGAATCTCGCTCTCATTCCAGCCTGCTCTCCAGTGAAGAATGACGGCTCTCCGCAGACTGCTCCGGCGGAGGCTGCACCCACTTAAACTGGTGGTCGTGGCCCTCGTCTTTGTCACTTTTGTGTTCCTCATACAATGGGAAGTGGGGAGCCAAAGCCACCAAGAGGAGCCCTGGCTGAAGGAGATGGCAGTGAAGCGGGACGCCATGTTGGGCATAGTGATGGGAGCTGTCAATAATTTCAGGGACGCCATGCCAAAAATGCAGATCAGAGCCCCCGTGCGTCTGTCGGACACCGGGGGAGACGGCACCTCCTGCAGGCAGGGTCACTACACCGTCGCCGAGCTGAGGCCGGCCCTGGAGCGGCCGCCGCAGAACCCCCTGGCTCCTGGAGCGGCCGGGAAACCCTTTCATACAAACTCACTGAGTCCCGAGGAGCAGAAGGAGAAGGAGAGGGGCGAGGAGAAGCACTGCTTTAACCTGTACGCCAGTGACCGCATCTCACTGAGCAGAGACCTGGGCGCGGACACCAGACCATCAGAGTACGTCCCCCCCTCCACCCACACACACACACTCACCTCCTGCTTTTCAATAATGTGTCACTTTAAGTTGTTGTTGAACAATGTTGAACATGTGTTTCATTAGAAAGAACAGCAGAGATCTCAGAGGAAGTAACGACTGTCAGCCAATCAGCGCTAACCTCCATCTGTCAGTGGTTCTGATGTAAATATTGTACTATACTATATTGATCCCATATTTGGGAAATTGTTGTGTTAGCATCTGATATACTGTTAACAGGCTGCCCCTAGCAAGCTCCAAACATGTGGTTTCTCTGGGAATCAAACCCACAACTCTCTGCTTCCAACTATGGAAGCAGCTCACACCAGTACATCAGGTGACTGTACTGGTGTGAGCCAACTGGACTCCTGTGTCGTACCGTACCGTACCGTACCGTACTGTAAGCACTTCATGGCTTCATGTCTTGGCTCAGAACTCAGAGTCACACTCCTGGTGAAGTGACTCAGGCTCAGGTTGTTGTAACACACTGTAATTAGGGCAAAACAAACATCAGGGTCCAAAACCCAAACAAATCCATTACACAGTGTTTGCCTTTTCGCAACTGTGTAAAATCAGAGGGAGAAACCACAGCCGTGATTGTTCTGACTGGGACCTTGTTGCGGCACGCCTGCCCAGTCACTGTGGCCGGTTCAGGGAGCAGCTCACTTACCGTATGTTTGGCCAATCACAGTACATGCTAGTCCAGGCAGTCGTTCCCCTGTCTCAGATATTTGCAGGTATTCCAAAAGGCGGCGTCTCATTTGAAGCGGACACCACCCTGGGGGAGAGAGTGTCGATGTAATAACCAGACTATTGTTCAGCTCAGGAACTGTAGCGGACAGTCACATCTTTGTGCTCCTTCTCCGTGCTGCCACAGATGTATTGAACAAACCTTCAAGCGCTGCCCCCCCCTGCCGACCACCAGTGTGATAATTGTGTTCCACAACGAGGCCTGGACTACTCTGCTGAGGACGGTGTACAGTGTCCTCCACACCTCTCCTGCCATTCTGCTCAAGGAGATCATCCTGGTGGACGACGCCAGCGTCGACGGTACGGCCCTCGCTGGCTTTGATTTTTTTTTTTTTTCTCCGTGCATGCTGGGTGGGAGCTCTGGTGGGTAACAGCAGGAAGGGTCAGTGAATACTTTCCTAGAAGGAATTAGCAGCGTTTCTGCTCTGCCGTGAGTCAGAGTCCAGTGGAGTGTGGGTAGGAAACATGAGAACAGAGTATCACTTCTTCTGTTTTTGTTGGGCTTTTTTTTTTACTGCCAGATGTTGTCACGGGGTTCATACAGGTGATTTTTAAATACTTCAATTTACTTCAACGTTTTTTTTTGTGCTCATTTGTTTGCGAAGTGAAATAATTTGGGATAAAATCAGAAATGTCAGAAAATTTGCCATCACGTTTAATCCTTAATTGGACAGTGACTCATTTGTTCCACAAATGATCACAGAGAAAGGTGGAAAGTGTTTTGCCAGAACCTCAAAATTATCATCATCATCATCATCACTATTATTATTTTGAATTGTCTCTCGCCCACAAAAAAAAATTTTTTTTTGCATGTAGGATTAGAAAAAGAAAATATTTTTTACCAGAATTGCTTTTTAAAAAATTTGGATTACAATTGGATTGATTAGCCAGTCATGTACTTGTCACTATAGTGAGCTGTAGTCTTTTGTAGACAAGGAGAGACTAATTTGTGAACCATCTTCTGTTCTTTTGTCTGACCTGCAAGAACTCATCTGGTAAAAACTGAAAATATTTTTAAGAGATTATTAAAAGTGTCTCAGATTTGACTTGTAAACAAGAATTAATATAAATCAAAAAGTTTCTTTCATCTTTTTTTAGTTTTAGTTTTTGAATCTCCACTTCCAGGCTGATGGTTGTGAATAATACAGTATATTAAAATAAAATAATTATTCAATTATTCACCTGCCTGTCATTTAAGTTTTATTTTTTTAATTTTTCTCCAGATATCTTAAAGGATGAGCTGGACGACTATTTAAAGCAGCTCAGCATCGTACGAGTCGTCCGCCAGCGAGAGAGGAAAGGCCTCATCACCGCTCGACTGCTCGGCGCCTCTGTTGCCAGCGGCGACACCCTCACCTTTCTGGACGCGCACTGTTAGTCAGCATGTATTTTTGTCGGCCTCGCCCCCGCGCAAGCGCACACACACACACACCCTCAGATAAACACGACAATGACTTTCCTTCTCCTTCTTGAAAAACTAGTAAAAGACGTTGCCGAGCTGCGTTCCTTATTTAGCTTCTTGATTTGCAGGTGAGCTGCGGCGTGCTGACTTTTTATGAATTGTGTGTGTGTGTTTGGACAGGTGAATGCTATCAGGGATGGCTGGAGCCTCTGCTGGCGAGAATAGCAGAGAACTACACTGCAGTAGTCAGTCCTGACATAACCACTATTGATCTGAATACCTTTGAGTTCATGAAGCCGTCCCCGTACGGTCAGAACCACAACCGGGGAAACTTTGACTGGAGTCTGGCTTTCGGCTGGGAGAGTCTTCCAGATCACGAGAGACGGAGACGAAGAGATGAAACCTACCCTATTAAGTACGAGAAAAAAAAAAAAAAACATGTGAATGATTGTAAAGGAATATGAAGAGGTGTTTTTTTTTTGTCTGTTTCTTGTTGTGTTTACTGCTGTTCATTCTCAACAGGACGCCCACATTTGCCGGAGGACTCTTCTCCATTTCTAAGGACTATTTTTATCAAATTGGAAGCTACGACGAGGAAATGGAGATCTGGGGTGGAGAGAATATTGAGATGTCCTTTAGGGTAAGGTGTGACTTGACTTTATTTTCAAATATGCAGGTTGTATTCATTATCTCACTGCTGGCATGGTAGGCATCCCAGCCTTAAAAATAACTTCCCTCTTCTGAATGGATGATCTGATTATTAGGACAGTAAAATATCTGTATGTATATATANNATATACATACATTATTATATATATATATTTACGCAAATAACAGTAAAAATTCTTTGATAAATACATCCAAATAAATAATCAAATGTACCTGTTATGACCTCACCAGTATTTATCGTGGGGTCTGACCTCTGGTGGTCACTCACTGTGCATCATTTCTGCCTTGAACCCACAGGTGTGGCAGTGCGGGGGGCAGCTGGAGATCATCCCTTGCTCCATCGTCGGCCATGTTTTCCGCACCAAGAGCCCCCACACCTTCCCTAAGGGCACACAGGTGATCGCTCGCAACCAGGTACGACTGGCCGAGGTGTGGATGGACGAGTACAAGGAGATCTTCTACCGGCGGAACCAGCAAGCTGCGCAGATGTCGAAGGATGTGAGCAAAAGTTTTGTCTTTTTAATCTGCTACAGTAGTTCATACGTCTCTTACATTACACCCCGTGAAGAAGAAAAAGCAGGAAATACATATTCACCATGTTCTTCATACAAATGACACACAAACTCAGACGAGACAAATAAATTAGCCGGTGCAGACTGAGAGCTGTTAAAGCACACAGGGAGAGCCCTGAAGGAATTCTCTTCTAGTAGACGACACGGACTGGCAGCGGTTCCCAACATGTGGTCCCAAAGGTGTCATAAAAAGTGTTCCCTGAAGGCTACACCTTGGTGGCGGCCCTGTCCTGTCCTGCTGTCTTCAAACAGACAGACCAGCAACCATAGCTTCAAGGAATGCACTGCAGTGGCTGTCAGTGTGCCCCGGGGGTGAGCCGCCTCCTGGTGGCGGTGGGGAGAGTGCTCATTATGTGCAGGGTGGCCACAAATCCTCTTAAACACGCTGAACACTTCACTTTTACAGGGGAGTAATTAAATCCTCTTAACGTTGGTTAAAAAAAAAAAAGAAAAGTGGAACAATGTACAACGCTTCCTAAGGAGGTTGTTAAAGAACTGCAGGATGTTACTGTAGGTTTGTCATCAGACAGGTGGACTCAGTGAAGTCTACTGTTGTCACTGACCTGTGTCTGAAATATATATATATATATGTATGTGTATATATACAGAAAATATATATGTAATTTTTTATAAACATATTTGCTACTTCTTAACACTATATACACTATATAATTTCTGTCTATACATACACATATGTATGTGTATGTATATATTCACATACTGTATATACACATATAAATATACTGTGTATATATTTATATATATATACACACATAAATGGTATATAGTGGTAAGTAGCAGAGTAGTAGGGGAAGTAATAAATAATATTATGACTATAATAAAGGGTATTTGGAAATATATGTGGCAGTATTTCTGCTAAATACAGTATAACCCGCAGAGGAAATGTTAATCAGACTTTGATTCTCATTCACAGAGGACGTTTGGAGACATTTCCAAACGGCTGGAGTTTCGGACGAGGCTGCAGTGCAAAAGCTTCTCCTGGTATTTGAAGAACATTTACCCAGAGGCCTTCATGCCTGATCTGAACCCGCTCCGATTTGGCTCTGTAAGATCACACACACACACACACACACACACACGCACCACACAGCAGTTCTCCTCTTTCCAAACCTTACAGCTCTGTCTAGCCACTGTGGGTTTCCACGTGGGATCTCCAGAGGGCACTGAACAGTTCCAATTTGACACCAGCCAAAGCACTCCAGAGAATAAAAAGTTGTTTGAACAGCTTGCATGGGATGTTAGTTTTTTCATTTTGTTTCCTCTCACTGCTTTCCCTCATCCCTCGCTCCCTGTAGGTGAAAAATGTGGGCAGAGATTCCTGTCTGGACGCTGGAGAGAACAATGAGGGAGGTAAAGAGCTGATCATGTACCCGTGTCACGGACAGGGAGGGAACCAGGTCTGTCTCAATACAAACACACCACCACAACCAGTTCAATCACAGCCACTGAACCACATTTTTGTTTTTAACCAGTTCAATCAACAGCCACTGAACCACATTTTTGTTTTTGTTTTTTTTTTCTTTTAATGATGTAGTATTTCGAGTACTCCACACACTACGAGATCAGACACAACATTCAGAAGGAGCTGTGTTTGCACGGCTCCGATGGCTCTCTGAAGCTGGAACTCTGCCAGTACAAAGGGGGAGGCTCCGGCGTAGGAGAGGAGCAAAAGTGGGAGCTAAAAGACGTAAGTTGTTCTTCCTGTGTCTGTGCGTGTGTGTCCGTTCATGTGTATGATTTATAATATTTGAAATTCATCAGCTCTGTCTCTCCGCTCCACATAGAACCAGTTATTCTACATGCCAGGACTGAATCTGTGTCTGACTGCACGCCTTGTGCATCCCTCCCTCGCCACCTGCAATCCCTCAGACAGATACCAGCTCTGGTTCTTTGTCTGAGTGCGGGAACTACCACAGTAGGAGTAGCTAATCTGTATGCACAGACATACTAGGTCAATGAGTACGCCCTACCATATGCAGCTAATTCTGTCCTTTTTTTTAAGTATAAGGACAAGGAGTTTTTTTTAATTTTTTTTGTTGTTTTTTTTTTAACATACGGTAGAAGAACTGAACTAATGCTGCTGCTGAACAGTCTGGACTCTGACAGAAATACAGTGTCTCACTGCAAGAAGGAAGCTCTGAAAAATAATGCCAACAACAACAAGTGCCTATTTTATATTTTTAAACTTTTTCACCATGCTGCCTTCACATTCAACACGACCAGTATTAGGTACAGCATAACAAGCCAAAATTCCACACTTTGTTTTAGGAAACAGATAACAACCCTTAGACATATATATATATATAGATAGATAGCAGGATTTAATTTGTTTTTAAATTTCTACCTCCTCCATTGGCAGGTTATGGCCGTATTTTAGATATACTTTGATAGTTAATTTTTTTTTTTTAAATCAGCTGAAAAAAATTATAATTAACTGTGTCCCGGTGTAACTCAATAACCACATATTTGAAAAAACTAACACTCGTATTAAGCCTCCAATAAACATTTTAAATTGCATTTTGTGGCAAAATCAGAATAGTGAATCTAACTAAGAATTCCACAGAAATTTTCATATTTGGAATAGTGAAGCGGTTATTATAATTTGACTTTGTTTATACATTGGTATTGCAACAAAATAATAACCACAAGAAAAAGAAAAAAAAAACTTGGAGCAAAGTCCTTGAAAATGCATTGTAGTTCCCAACTGAAGTGACTGTGATCATTAATTTATGTTAGCAGCTATTAGCTCACTGCCTTTTTACAAGTTAATTATAAATAAGTATTTGTTATTGTACACTAGTTGTGCAATAAGTATGTTCTTCACAAATACTCACCAGATGTCACTCTGCTACACAGTGACAGTTTATCAGTGTCGCTATGTAGCCTTGACATGCTAATGTCTATTGACATCACGCTAAGCTAATGCTTATGAATCTGCAAACGCAGATTCCGCCAAATACCCATTAAAAAAAAATTCCATATTTCACCAAAGAAAATCCCACATAAAACATATGTTTTGTCCCTTTTTTTTATATAAAAGAAAAATGAGAGAATACTTAGATTTTTCTTCCTTGAATGTAATATTCTCAGTGGGAACACTGGTTGATGGTTGGGGGATGGTGGTGGAACACAGTAGGTGATGGTATTGTGAAGTCGATGCAATTTTCTGCCAAGACAGAAAATGACAGAGGGCAGTGCTGGGGTCAGACATGTCCGTAAATTCGGGTAGTTTAACTTTGATATATTTATTTCTTAAGATTCCATTTTATTTTTTATTTTTTTTAATCTTTTAACCCATAAACAGTTACTATACAGATGGATGTGTACGGCAAATTCGTTTTTTTTTTGGATGCACACTTGGTTTTTATTGTGAGTTGACCTCAAACAATAGTTACTGCACTCACCAGCAATTACCTGCAGTCAAGTATCAAGTGCTTTAACTGTTACTATTCTTGGCAGTGTTTCATGTTATTTAAATTTTTATTTTTATGTCTTGAACACTTCCACCTAGTGCTCTTAAAAATCCTCTGTTCAGACGTCTAAATTCTGTTCCTTTATGCAAGCAAAAATCCACAAATGAATGTCTGGTGCAGGCACTGGTGTTTAGATGGAAGTGAAAAGTTTTTTTTGTTGTTGTTGTTTGTTTGTTTTTTTGTAACCAGTCGGGGATTATTGAAAGGTCGGATTTTTTAGTGTTTTCCTTAAATGGAAACTGTTTTGTGCCTTGATATTCTAAGGTTCTTCTGAGCTCAATAAAGTCTCTTGACAGAGTACTGAGAGCCACCGTGTTTGATTTTTCTCTCTCTGGTCTGCAGAGGGCGCTTGACACAAACAAATCCCAACAACCCAGGCAGCAGTCTGTGGTGTAGATACAGGACTTCATCAGGGGTTAGGGTTAAGATCAAACCAGCAAAGTTTAATGAAACCAAAAAAATGAGGCAATTAAAAACGAACGCTGTTGTTCTCTACAAAAACCAACACTGAAAAAATATGTGCAAAACATATGCATTTCACGGAATATATATACTGTATATATATATATATATAAAGAATAAAACACATGAGGCACATAAAGCTTTACAATTCACAACCAGCTTGAAACAAAAGACAACTTCAAAATAGCGAAGGAATTTACTGGATACAGACTCTTCATAAACCACAATAAATACACATTTTTATTATATCATTCATAATAAATACTGAAAAATGTAAAAACGAAGCAAATTCTTCAACGGATGCTGTGTCACGGTGTCTGAGTCGACACACACACACACACACACTGTATGCTTTGGCACAACTGATGGACACTGATAGGCCATGTCAATACTACTGATTGCCTGCAAACACTCATTTAAACCATTAGGATGGAATTACAGGTCTGTGGCTTTCATCGCACCCGATCTCCACACTCGGTACTAACTTTGAGATTGTGTAAATTCAAGCATGGAAATGGTATAAATGTCTGTGCTCATGCAGAAGCAAAGAACCCAAGGTAGAGAACCCGGGTAGAGTCTTGTTAGAGTGTATCTTGCGTTCCTGGGATTCTTCCTTATTTTTTTATTTTTTCAAATCAAAGAAATTGCAAAAAAAAAAAAAAAAAAAGAGTTATTTACAGATTTTTGGCGAACTGTTTGGCTGTCATTCTTGGATGGCTCATAAGACTCACATAGTGTACGTATGTGTTCAATAATGATATGAATCACGTTTAATATTAAGCTTTGATTGTCAACCTTGAAAATTTGTTTCTCCTATTTCATTAATACAACTATGGCGTTTTCCACAAACCCCAGCGCTAGTCCGTTATTTTGAACCAATCTCTGTTCACCTTTAAACGAGAACGTCTGTTACAGTCCTCGGAACTATTGCACGTTACAATTTCATAAAACTAACCAGCTTCATAATCAGATCCTCATAAATAAACATCTCAGTACATCGACAACTTGTAGCTACAGTGTTCCAGAGCAGAACCCTCTTCACAATTCAAGTTATAAAATACTGGCACGTCATTTCGGAACAGTATTTGTGAAATAAGTTTCCAAATTAGCTAAATTTTCGACAAAGATAGTTTCATAACGTCCACGTACCGAGGTTATTTATATGTATTTGTATTTCCAGGAAACTTTGTACACTTTTCTAAAATACGGAAGAAAAAGGTTCAATTCTGGTTTTCTGTAATTCACTTGGTTTGACAGCAAAAAAGCAAAAAACTTAAAAAAAAATTTTTTTTTAATTATTTCATTCAATTACTTTTGTTTAATACATTTCTGCCAAGCTGCTAATATGTTAGCGGCTATTGGCAAGCAGTACTGCTTTTAGGATTTAATTTTAGCACTACTTGTTGTGTATTAGTTGTCCAATTAGAAATTACTTCACTCAAAACTCAGTATACTACATACTGTAGTTTTATCATCACCGCCGTTTCTTACAACCGAGTGAACGAAGCCGTGAATTCAGGAGCCGTGGTTTTCTGTCATTCAAGTATTTTTCAGCTGCATGCCACTGGGCCCCGACGCATGAGTGCGATAGGCTTTCCACTGATTTTGACATGCCTCACATTTAATGCTACTGATATTGTATACTAAAAAAAAGAGAGAGAGAGAGTGAGAGAGATTAGGTTTTTACATGCTTTTCAATAACCATAGAAAAGCATATAATACTAACCAAAAGATCAATAAACTCACGTTTCATATAAAACAATAGCAATTAATCCTTGCCAAAAACAGCATGCACGATGTTATCAAAACATTTACAATATATAAGTATGCCGATCATCTTCAAACAATAAATAAACTGACAGTAAAACCTTCTTTTTTTTTGCACATTTGACTGATACGGTAGACATTAAAAAAGTAACATTTACAGTACAATATCTGCTTAAAACTAGAAATTTACATCTGAAATTACAAGATACATTGCACGACATGACAAAGCGGAAAATGTTTCACTTGTTTTGTACTCTCACCCATTTTGCCCTTGAGCACACCGTGAAGTCGTAAAATCCTTCAGGTAAAAACATTTACTGAGAACATACAATAGTCAACGTTCCACGGTGGAGTAACTTGATTTGCAGTTTAAGCTACAGTGAGATCTTGTTTCTTTCTTTCCTTCTTCCCTTTTTTTTTCATTTCTCTTTCTTTCTTTCAAAAAAAGCCATGACTGTGTTTCCTTAAAAGACCATTTGGTCAGGCTCCAGTAGAGACAGAACAATAAAAGAACACTTAAGAAGATGTCACTCACTAAATGGCTGTGACCTCGGGGCAATGGTCTGGTAAAGGAAGGTTCTTAGTACCGTTCGCTAGTAAGGTCAGGTCAGAGTTTCTATTAACGCTGGACTCCTGCTGTGGCTGCTCGGCTGCCAGACGTGAGCTGTAGGGACCCTGCGTGTTATTGTTCAGGTAGTTCTGGAACTGTGTCAGGTTCTGGTTCTCAGGCTGCTCCACGTGGGCCGATTTGGACGTGACCTTCTCCCGGTCTGGAGTGTAGCAGCTGACGGGGGCAGAGTGAGCGCCGTTGAAATTGTGAGCAGCTGTGTATTGACCTACCGTCTGACTGGAGTAGTCTGGGTACTGCTCGTCGTTTAAGCTGAACGGTCCTTGCGCTGTGTTGCCACTAGTTGTGCTGACGGGATCTTGGAACGCTAAAGCCTCCCCGTAGGATTCAGCGGAGAGGTCGGTCTGGCCACCAGAGACGGCGGCGGCGGAGCTTCCCAGCTGGTAGTACTCCACGGAGGAGGAGTTCATTAAATAAGTGTTGCCGTTCACATGGTTGTCGTGGGAGCTGTCGGTGTAACACAGCACCGTGGACAGAGGCACCACCTCGGTATGAGACGTCGGCGGGGTCGTCGCGTCGTTTTCGAAGTTCTCGGGCTTCTCGTCTTCATTTTCCTCGTCCTCAGAGTCACTGTTGGCCAGACTCTGCGTGCTGGAGTCGGACAGACCGCTACAGACGCTGCTGCTGTCCTCCTCGTCCTCCTCATCTTCCTCATTTTCCTCATCATCCTCTTCCTCCTCTTCTTCCTCATCCTCCTCATCTTCATCGTCCTCATCTTCTTCCTCATCATCCAGAGGCTCCTCCATTTCGTCCGTGGCCTGCAGGTGCATGC